ATCAGTCTGACATATCTACCCAAGAAAGTCTTTTTCACACAATATCTACCAGGATTGTTGAAACCTTGTCTATAGATTTCCTTGCAAGCATTTTGTCATCAGAAACAAGTGTTGTGTCTACTCTACTTTCAATGCAGAATGTTTCTCCAGAGCCCAGTACCTCAAACACCATTGAATCAGTCGTAATGGCTACACCGAAAATTTCTTCAGCATTCAGCGCATCCCAAGAGTCGTTTTCATCGTCCTTTGTAAGTGCGATTTCAATGAATGTGTCTATTTCCTATAGTGTGAAATCAATCGCTCTCCCCACTCCGAGCACATCAGAGTCTATGAGCAACAGCTCAAGCCAGGTAGAAATGATTAAAGGCAATCTCGTGCAGGCACAGAATTCCAGCCTTCTGTATCGTTTCGCAGCGGGCCTTTCAACTGCCAGTATCAGCCAGCCCGTGATGGATTTGGAAGCCACTACACCAGCAACTGCGGTATCTCACAGAGAACCAACTAAGTACGCTAGCCCTAGAACAAGCTATATTCCTACAACCAGCTTTGCAGCTCCATACACTGCTTTGACACAGTCTGCCAATAGCATCCCAGAAGTGATCACCTCCGGACATCGCACTAAAAGAGCGTTAACAATGTCGTCATCAGTCCCCAACACATTCACCTCAACGGCAGTCAGAACCACAGGAAATGCTCTTATATTTACGAACTCAAGTAGCACCTTCTCAAACTTAACGGTCATAATAACTGTGGCTAGCAACACTGCTCAGACGATAGAATATGTTATAAACGGCAACAACATCACTGTCTTAAGCTCAACACTCTCGTTTATTGGTTCAGAAAGCATTGCCGTCCCAACGAACGAGTCAGTAGAGATCAGTCTCTTTTTCACTGACCAAAAAGAGGATTTGGTAGCCCAGTCTATCTACAACGGTATCCGGGCAAATCTTAGTGTTAGCAACTGTAGCTTTTGTGACCCTAGTGCGTCTGCTGGGCAGGTGTTCCAGGTAGATGCTTCGCTTAACTCAACCCAGCTAGATGAAGAGAGCTTTGAGGTGCATTTCTACAGTGACGGGGGCCTTACCTCAACTTTATCAATCAATTTCACATTTCTAGAGATCATGGTTGAAGCACCTGGTCTTTTTTCTCCCGTGCAGAATTATTATCCGACTTTTGAGAATCTCTTTTTTGCCTTTCTATCGCCATATCTTCACGTGACCTCGTTTTGGACACTAGTTCATGCCTCGGATGGATCAGCCATCAGTGAAATCGAATCAAAATGCGCTCAGGATTGTCAAACTTTGTCAAAGGCAGCCTGCGTGGCATTCCAGTCTGTCAATTGTTTTTTGCCAGTTACCTTCACACTAACAGAAAGTCGGGAATATATAATCAAGGTTAATTTCAGCAATCCCGTCACGAGTGAGCCGCTCATTCGCAGCCTGCAATTCAAGGCCGAGAGAAGAATAACAGACATACAGATAACCCCTTATTGTGATTACACCGCGAACATCCACATGTTCAAGCAAATCAACGCCTCTTTCATCGGGGATGCACGCTTTGTTGAATGGAAAGTGGACGGAAATGTCGTTAAGTATAATTCTAGCGGTATCATGCACGCATCTTCTAAAATTGGTCACTACAACGTCTCAGTTCATGTTCAAAATAATATAAACAGCGAATCTCGATCAATTGTTATCGGTGTTATCGAAGAAGGCGCAATCCATGGTTTGACAATTAGGAACCCTATAACGAACAGCTTCCATGCTACCTTCACAAACGTTACATTTGAAGCATTGCTATGCGAAGGAGAGAGTCCTAGGCTCGAGTGGAGTTTTGAAAGCACCTCCAATTACACCGTCAATTCAACGCGCGTTTATTACACGTTCTCGCGGCCTGATCTGTATGTCGTGAATGTACGTGCTGAAAATTCGAAGTCTGTCGTGGCAACGGCGCGCGTCTACGTCTACGTGCAAGATAAAATTGAAGGCTTCAATGCTTCTGTCAGCCAGTCAATTTTAAGAGTGAACGATGTGTTCAGAATCCATGTTGAAGTCAGCAAAGGAACCAATGTCACTTATGACGTCACAAGCCTCGAATTGTCAAATAATGAGTTCAAAGGCAACATGTCACGTGATCTTAAAATTGCCACTTTCGGAGAAAAAAACTTGACTGTTACTGCAAGAAACATGGTAAGCAGAGCAACTTTATCCATTCAAGTAAGAGTGGAAGAGCCAATAGCCATACTGTTATTGGGTAAACATTATCTGTCACTAGATAAGGTCTCTAACCTCAATGTAACAAAAATATCCGGCAGCCACATGTCTATTAAATGGGACTTTGGTGATGGGACAAATACCAGTTTGGCGTATTTTGGTAGTTTTCTGCCGTTACCACAGCATCGTTACCTAAGAGAAGGAAACTACACAGTATCACTCTATGCAGTAAACACTGTGACGCCGAATGTCACTGTATCTTCGTTAATATTCGTAGAACGTGCGTTAAATAGCGAGAGTAATGAATTTATTGTAACTACACAGAAATACGTTGCCACGAACAGTGCCTTCAAGATTACAATGCTTGTCAATCAAACCTCTATTTATGGCTACAGAGTCTCTTGTGAAGTCTTGTCAAATGTCTCGTTGGTGGACCCTTGTTCTGCCTATTCATGGCCACTGCTTTTGACTGCCAATGTGAGACATCTATATTTCGTGTTTCAATCTGCGGGACTCCACAAGATGCAGTTTACCGCTAGCAACAATGTCAGCCGGCTTGCTCAAACAATTACGGTAAAATCAGAAATTATGATTACAGGAGACGTTATTGTCCGCCCAGTGTATGTTCCGTTGTCTATCACCCAATATGCTCGACTCAATGCATCGGTGTTGGGATCTGACCCAGTTTTTACATGGCGCTTCCAAAATGGACCAAAATTGACAGGGACACACGTGAATTTCAATTTCACGGCGTTAGGTCCTGTTTTATTGAACGTAACAGCAGAAAACAACGTTTCCACGAAGACAACTCAAATTGAAATCCAAGTGGAGCTGCAGTTGCATGATCTTTGGCTGATAGCTAATACGTCACATGCAGCATTGAACAGCCCAGTTTTAATAGAATCTTCAATAAAATACAAACGTGAGCATAGCTACTCATGGCTTATAGACGGTGCTGTAATGGAAAGCAAACAGGATAATATAATTCATAAATTCCATAAGCTTGGTAGCCACTTTGTCACCCTGAATTTGGCAAACCACATTAGCAGCCAGTCATCAAATGTCGTTATTGAAGTAGAAGATCCCGTCAGTGGTATTCAGGTCTTTCTCAAGAATAACCTCACAGCCGTACCATTTAATGAATCCGTCATTTTGCAGGTTGAAACCGACACGGGAAGTAACCTGACATACCGTTGGAGGTTTGGCTCTTCAGATTTGGTATCCACGAACAACTTCCAAGATATTAAGGTTACTCAACCTTATCATTTTCATATAGCTGTCACTGTTGAGGTATTCAATAATGTATCAAAAGAAATAGTGACAAAACTATTCCCTGTGGTACATAGAATAGGAAATGTAAAAATATTGACTAGCAGTGACAATGTTCTCGTTAACAATATCGTGACATTTCGAATTCAAATTGACAGTGGCAGTAATGTCTCAGTAGCATGGCGACTCGGTGATAACGTTTTGAGCTCGAATTTCACGCTCAACTACACGTTTCCTTCTCCGGGTGTTTACGTTATTGAAGCATTGGCTAAAAACGTAATTGGATTTAAGAACGATGTGAAGACTATTCATGTATTTGACCGCATTGCCTTCAACGGCCTGGCCCCCAACATTGCGATCACAAATCGCCCAACCAAGTTTGTACTGGAAAATATCGATTCAGCCAACGTCAGTATCCTCTGGTTTATTCCAGCTAATGTGAATTCCTCAACATTTGTTGGCCTTGAAGTTAACCTAACGTTTCCTGAGCCGGGTGTCTATCTGCTAACGATAAATGGTAAGAATCCGGTTCATGATGCAAACCATACTTTCCCGATTACCGTGCAAAATCGCGTGGCAGGCCTCGAAATTATGCACCGGGAAGACTTTTACCGTGTACATGAACAGGTTCGGTTCACTGCAAAAACTTCAGATGGAACAAATACATCGTTCGCCTGGGTTTTGTTTTCCAAATCACGTACAATAATCGCAATGGAAAGCGGGCTGTTATTCGAGCATACGTTCCCTGATCCGGGCGTTTATGAAGTATTTGTAAACGGGTCTAACCGTGTGAGCTCTGCTGTAGAGTCTGTGACGGTTTACGTTCAAGAACCAGCCAATATTGTGTCCATCACCCCTAAAAGTAAACAAATATTACCTACCACAATACTGACTACGCTCAACGTCCAGGCGAATGGCACAAACACAAGTGTAACTTTTACTTGGCTTGGAAACGTAACTGACGTCAAGACTCTGAAATCTTCCCTTAAGTTCAAAGTGGACATGCCTGGCAGCGTGATTATTACGGCTTTCGCAACAAACCTTGTTAGTAACAATAGCAAAGAAGTGCTGTTGTATTTTCAAGAAAAAGTAAGAAACCTTACAGTCTGGGCGTCAGCGCAGAGGATACCAGAAGGCAATTATATCGATTTTAGAGTTTTTGCAAAAGGCGGGAGTCATATCACGTACCAATGGTTTGAGAATAATACGCTGATAAGAAACGCGGTGAACAGCACGTTGCGTCATAATTTCCCTCGCAGGGGCGCCTATTACGTTAAAGTGATCGTCCGCAATGAGGTCAGCGATAGTGAAGAGGGAATGATAGTTTCTGTTGAGCCGATGACATGCAAGCCTCCCCAGGTAACAATTGCCGGGCGCAAACGTCGAGAATTCTGGAACTCATCGTGGCTCTATTCTGAGGCTTCAATCAATAGTGAGTGTTCAAGGTGGTCTGTCAATTCGAAATGGCTGGTTAAAATTGCCAACGCTGATCTGACTGCCTTGTTGAAATTGATGCATTAGTTTCTTATCAGCTGCCATCCTCAGTCGATTTGACGTCACCATTGCTAGCCGTGCAGCCAAGAAGCTTTAAAGATCGGTATTACTGCTTGTTTTACACGGCAAGATATGGGATCGCTGGAAAATTCGTTATTTACGACGCCTTGTTTCTAAAGGTAAGCATTCAGTCTACTATTTGCAAAACGTTTTTCATTACAAAGTTCCTTTGGTTAATATTCATTGAAAACTGAGCGGACATGAAGAATCCAGATAGGTATCATGTTTTGCTTCATGTCATATTTTTAGGAGAGCCTTCCCCGACCCTAGGCAACATGTGATTCCTTCATGCAGTCAAACAACTCCTCGACGTCTATGACATGTAGTTAATCGGGTTATCTTGGCCGGACTCTTAAGTTTCACCGTAAAGACACTAGATGCAAGGAAAGCGTAATTCACATTTTCTAATTAGAATGACAAAATTGTTCTTTCCAAAATCAGGGATTTAAGAAATGAAAAAAAATTGCCGCTTATTTGGCTATCAGCTTTGCTACTGACCGACATAATCAATGAACACTTTTGTTTTTATGTAATTACCTCTATTTATTTGTGATAACAGTATTATGTTGCCACTTCTGACGGTAACTTTGAGATTTTGCCCACTTAGGTGTTGCCTTCCCCTCCAATCCCCATAATCACTGGTGGCGAGCTGAGAGTTTTTGGACAAAACCAGTCTTTTACACTGGATGGATCGCGAAGTATAGACCCCGATTCCAGCTCGGGACAAGCGATTGGACTCTATTATCGCTGGGAGTGCTCATTTGAGGTTCAGAACAGCAGTTTGAATCAAAACCATTCTGGATGCAAGAACACGACATGGAGTAGAAACCCAAAGCTTGATATTCTTGCAGGCAGTCTGGGCCAAGGGAACGTGTACACCTTTACTTTGTTTTTGAAACGTCTTGACAGTTCTCCAGTTTCGAGTTCTCAAAAGGTAAACATATTCCTTTTATTACTAAGCTACGCTTAAAACTGAATTCCTGTCACCAACCTGTTTTCCTATAAGACACTATACGTATGTTAGAAGCTCAAATGGTCTAATGCCTAGTCCAATGCTTTACCCAGCGAAATACTAAGCCATTCCAAATTCAATAAAAGATCCAAGTTTGTCACTTTTTTAGCGCTTCACTTTGCAATTTCGATTATGAATAGATCATTTATGTATATGAATGTTACTCAAAGGAGTTTCCTGAAGAGGAAGTGTGATCCCTTTCAAAGAGTCTAAACAACAACTGAACTGTTCCTGCCTGCATGTGATTTTTTAATTCTTGCCTTTATGTAGAAAGATTTCCAAAGATCATGAAGACAACACTGCTTTTATTTATTCAACGTAGGCTTTGGCTCATTCTGAGTTGTTCCACAAGCTTTGGTCACTGTTACATGTGCACCACCGTTTTGTATTTACTGTTGGCGCCTACCAGACCCTTAGCATGAACAGTAAATCTTTTAAATTCTTATTTTTAATGTCGCTATTACTATTCATTTTCTAAAAACAAGCCATGTTTTTTCAAGGTTCAAATTCTTGCAACAAGCAGACATGATGTTTTCTTCACATGCATAACTTGCCAGTCTTACAAGACTAGAAAATATATACGCAATCGTGACTTGAAGTTCCTGGGCGAGTGCAGCGATTGCCAAGGGGGTTCGTCCAGTATTTCTGTCACGTGGTCAGTTACGTCATCAAACGGTACGATAGTTATGCACAGAACCATGAGCAACACGGAGCTTCCAAGTTTGTTTATAATAAAGAAAGACACCTTGGACGGAATAGGGAATTACGCGATCAAGTTCGCTGTCATAACGGCCGGTAAGAATTTGTGTTCGTTTCTTGAGCTCAGAAAATTGTTAAAAGATTGCGAGGAATAGCAAAGGTTTTTAAGAATAGGAAAGTCTTTAAAACTTCTAGATGTTTTAATGTTTATGTTAATTCTTATTTTAAGACATTTTTTGGAAAACTGTTTATAGTGTTTTATGGTGTCGGAATTCGCCGTCCTTAGGTAATGCTAATTCTTTTTAATTCGTTAATAATATAATAAATCTGTGAATTTAATTTTAAAGTATTGTGAAAATCTGTATAATGTATCGTCAGATTCTGTTATCAGATCAACTTTCTTAAATGAAGCTGTTAACTGTACGGCCAAAGGTTACATCCATAGGTTTAATGATAACAAATAGATATTCATGTCCTTGAATTTTTGCTAATCTTTCGACAGTTGGTTCCAATATGATGGAAGGTGCATCATTGATGGTTTTACTTGCAAACGAGCCACCAAGCAATGGGACATGTGCAGTTCAACCTCAGGCTGGGGTGACGCTGGAGACAAAGTTTTGGTTCTCTTGTCGCGATTGGCAAGATCGGGACAATAGTGATGCCCCATTTGTAAATTGGGTGAAAGTGCAAAATACTGATGGTACCTGGGCCACCCTGTACAGAGGCATTCAATCAAATATTTCAATGTACCTACCTGTTGGAAAAACCTACAAGCAGAGAGATGTTCGCTTGCAAGTTTTGGTAGAGGACACGTTTGGTGCCATCGCAATAGGCCTTGACAGGTATTTTTTGTTTACTGATAGAAATCTCAGAGCCAAAGGAAGTGCTTTTGCTTACCCCAGAATTTCCCCTCAATCTTTGGAAATTTTCCTAAAAAAATTGGAAAAAAGGGAAGATTTTTACCTGATGCTTTAGTTTCTTTTGCAATAGGCTTTGTTTCCAGTACTCTGTTTACGTACAAAAATTAATCGGTTTTTGTTTTTGCGTTCCAATTAATACTCTCCAAGATGGAGCAGAGGCGCCGTCATGACTGTAGGCAAGAGGACCAACGCGACAAAAATGGCGAAAAGAAAAAAAATAGCTCTGGACAATTTGACCAGCAGATACATTTGGAACGTTCCCTTTATGTTATGTTTGAAATCATTATGCTTGTATTATATATCTACATATATTTGGCTTTAGGAAGATGACAATTACTTTCACATTTAATAATTGCTCCCTTGATATCTATGGTTTATCGGGTAAGGGCATTAAGTTTTTACGGTTCCAAACTTAGTCGAAATTGGATTAAGTTTATTACGCCTGATATTCCCATCAAGCTTGAAACTCGGAGTAGCACCTTAGAACCGTCCTATTCTTTGCATCAAAAGCTTGTACAACTTTGCCTTAACAGCGTCAAGTATTTTATGACAGACCACTAAACAGCAATTTTCATCAATAGTCATCTATGTAATGTCTTCGGGTGAAAAATGATGTATTTTCCTCCTATATTCCTGTATCTCGCCCCATCCAGAAGCATCTAATGGCAATTTCCATGCTTTCATAAGTATCAATAACATTCTTTACTACTTTACATATTGTTTCATCAGGACAGTCAAAGTATCCCCACCAGACGTTGATGACATTGGTGTGTTTCTGGAGGACAGTGTTCTCTCCAATATTAACTCACTTACAGAAGAAAATGACCTGAATAAAGTGGTAGCTGTGTCATTGTCCTCAACTGCTTTAATAAGTGATTCAGGAAAGATTGGGAGAAAGGAAGAAAATGTGGTATCTAATTTGACACAAAGCGTTTCAAGCATGGGTGTTTCATCGCTGGAGAATGTGGATCAAGTATCAAGCACTCTCAAGATTGCAACTGGCCTTGTTTCAGAAAAGTCAGTACACCCTTTGACTAGAGAGAAGTTAACGCAGTCGCTTAACGATATGATAAATAGAGTTGCTGAATTCAGTTCACAGGGGCAGCTGGCATACCAATCAACTCTGGAGGCCTTGCTGTTTCTGTTGCAAAATAACATCGCTGCTGAAGCTGGCCAGAGTTCTGCTAGACGCAAACGCAGATATGTTTCGCCCCAGACCTCTTCGCAAGTGAGACAAAGTTTAAGTATGGCAATGACACTTTACACGTCAATACTCAAGGCTAGTATACCAGGTGAAGCTGCATTTAATGTATCGGATAAATATGGTGCTGTTTACTTGAAGCGAGCGAACTCTGCTTTGATTAGCCAGATCTTTGCTGGTGATGGATGCAGTTTCGCGCTGAATCATACGTTAGGGAGCTACAAGGATGTTTTCCAAATTTTCAACACAACCCACGTTGATCCTTATACGGCCTCAGCAGATGTGAAGACAAAAATCGGAAGCCTTAACTTCCTGCATCCAAACGGTACTGAAATATCGGTGAGAAACCTGCCCTTGAATAAGAGCATATTAATCGAGTTAGATGGTAGTGATACACGAAAGAACTTGAAAGGCATTGAAACTAAGATTGTCCCTGCGATGGGCAAAGTGGAAGGAGAACTGTCGGTCAATGTGTCTGATGCAAGCAACTCTTCGCTTTTCATTGAGATTCTTCTAAACAACGGCAGTATGGATGATCTCCTTGTATTTCACAGCACGAAACGGGTTGCATTGGATGAAGAACTTTTCTCCCTCATTAATGTATCTTCAAATGGAAACTTAAAGAAATACTTCCCTCCAGGGTGAGTTACTACACTTTCCATTGATTCATTCTCTTCTGTTGGACAACATTAGCTCTGTTCTCTTTGAGAAACTTGAGGCTCATAGCATGCATCCTCCGATAGGATCCCCTAGCCCTCCTCATGTGTCACTTCTGCTGTAGCTCTTTGTTATGAGGGTGCAGCAGCGCTTCCGTTTTTTAAGAGAAAAGGAAAAATGTTTATGTTCACATTTGCTCTGCTTCATCTATCTAACAACCGAATGTTGGTTATTATACCCTATTTACTAATATAAAAATCATCCTCAAAACGACGTCAAGAACATTGTTCTCATGGTCAAAATTGTTGATTACTTGTAGATTAGGTTGTCAACCTAAAGTCTACCGCTAGTAAACAGTTTTTGAAATGAGATGTTTTATTTTCATTCAGAGAATTCAAAACTTCCGAGAGGCACTACATCAAGATAAAGAATAAAGGGGAACGCGAAGATGTGAACGTTACTGTCCTTGTGTACACTGTATCTTGCATCTTCTGGGATAGAGAGAATGGTGTGTGGAGCTCTGAAGGCCTAATGCTCAACCACGACACGACATACCAGAAGACTGTTTGCAGAAGTAGCCATCTAACCTCGTTTGCATCAACATTTAAGATAGCACCGAATCCTATAAAGTGGTCAACATTGTCGGTACGGTTTCATCTTCCTTGTCTTTGTTTTATTCGGTTTCCGAGATTCGTTTATTAGTATTCAGTGGATCTGCGCGAAAGTTTGCCTTAATTTCGCCACTGATACGTCAGCACACACCGTCCTACCTCCATAGGCACTATGAAAGCCATTTCATGATTTATTCTATGCCTGGTCACCAACTACTCTCTTACTGCTCAATCAATGTTCATGCTCATTTTCTTCCATTATTACGAGAAAATTGCTCACGTTTCCCTCCTGTAAATCGCCATTTACTTCTAAATACTCACATACCCATCTTACTATTCAACACACTCTTATCTGAGGTTTTTATTGAGTTGATAAAGCTTGCAAAATTGATTTTAACATCAGAAAAACAAAAGATCTTTTAGGATATCGACTACCCCTCGACTACCCCAATAGTTGACCCATGATTCCCCACTAGTGAGTGCCTTTGCATTGAAATATTTTCAAGAATGAATTTGAATTATCTTGTTTATACTATATTACTCTCTATTTATGCCATATTTTGCGTCAGAGTAAGATAAATGGCTTTTGGCAATGAATCCCTACCAATTCAACTTCCTGGATAAACGCCCTTCCTCTAAGTAGTAAAACGAGGAAGTTAATCAATGAACTATGTTTTTTCCAGGAAATCGACGTAGAGAAGAATCCCATTGCGATTTCAATGTGCCTTGCCATTATCGTGGTGTATTTGATGTCTTTGTTCTTTGCTTCTCGTAAAGATGAAGAGGACCGGCGTGAGGCTCAGTACATACCGCTCATGGGCCCGGATGAGTACTTCAAATATGAAGTGAGGCTGAAGACCGGTGCTTTCCCCGGTGCAGGTAATGCTTTGAAAAACAGTTGAATCCCGTTTGTTTGTACCACAGAAAACTCCTCTTCAGACCTTCACTAAGTCGGACTGATTTTCAATTCCTGTTGGATATTCCTACCTTATTCAAGTCAAAATTCGTACGACGGATAAGTCGGACATTGGTTAAATCAGACCAGCTTTTAACTCTCCTTAAATCTCCGACTTTACGGTATTCAACTATATTATATATTTCTTCCAAAGAGGTTTCTACCTAAGCAATGAATCTGTATGAAATCTCTGCAATTACTTACTTGAAATTTCCTTGCAGACTGAAATTTTCTTGCAGACTCTTATTGATAAAATTTTGATTTTTCAAACATACTACTCCCTTTATGAATACGTTTTAGGCTCAAAGTAAGGTTATAAAAGGCTTTGGTTTGGAGTTTTCTTCCCTCAGTTTTTTTCACAGTCACTGTAAAGCTCATATGCAGGCTTCGTCTCTATCATGTAATAGCAACTAAAGTTTTAAAAACACTTCCATTACCCTAAATACCTACAGAGATACTTGAGGCACTTTTGACTTGCTTTGACTTAAGGTGACGTATATTTTGACTTAAGGCGACTTCTTTCCAATGTATTTGCTCCAGATACTGTATTTTGTAATGATTTCCAGGTACATCAGCCAATGTTGGCATTCAAATTTTTGCCACAAAGTATACGACAAAGCCGATTGTCCTCGCAAAGGAAGGAAGCTTTCATAGAAATTCTGTCGAATTATTCCGCTTTTCTTCGCCAACCAGGTATATTTTGTTTATAATCTATTTTGCTGTAACAGTGCTCTTAAGGGAGCCCCACCCCCCCCCCCCCCCAATATGAATTTCGTACCGACGGCACTGGTATGCGAGGTCTAAATATAAGCTAATTTTGTTTTTGCATTTTTACTTCTTAATCATAATTTACGTTTCACTCATACCGGATTATTCCCGTTCGTCAATCACGTTGCTCCTTGCTACTGTTAACTGATAGATCAATGCGAGATTTAGGGTTTACGGTGAATGGCCTATTTAGTGTCTCTTACTTCTGGTATAGATATCACCTCGAATTTGTCTGGTGCGAAAATCACTTTAATCGAATTTTTAGATTGATTTTTTCTCTTTGTGTAGCCTTGTTTATTTCACATGGTTCCGGTGTAATAATTTCTCGCTTTCTTTTTTAAATACGGATTTCTTATTTTGTTTCCATTACAAATATCAGCCACTTTGTATATCCAATATTTTGAATATTTGCTTCTACGTCCACTGTGAGAGTCACTTATTTATTAAAATTTCTGGCCTTATATTTGCACAATGTGACTTAATGTGTTTCTGACTTTCATATGAAAATTACTCGTTTTATATGTCAGTCAAATTACTCAAATGACACGACTTAATTAACGCGACTTCCAGCTGACTGTCAGGTTCTGTGTAGCTGCCGTTTGTAGTCTAGTAGTTTAATTAACATTTACGAATAGGAAACATCCAGACCCGCATTTTACTTTGAAATTGGTGGTTTTTCGGCTTACCTGTCTTCAACTTACATTATGTTACATCAATGTGATTATCAAATTCGATGAAAACAAACGAGTGACTGGTTATAGCATGTTTCAAACAGAACTGTTTTCCGTAGGCTTGGGAAAATTCTACGAATTCGTGTTTGGCATGACAACTCTGGCTCAAGTCCATCCTGGTACCTCACGAGAGTTGTCATTAAGAATCTTCTTAATGGACAAAAGTACTTCTTCTTCTGTAACAGGTATCTATTCAGTATTTTTCTTGATAGAAGTTGTTCTTATCCGAAAACACTTTGTTTATAGCTGTTTCCGAATCAGTCATTGTCAAATTAGTGCTCCTTATTCGTGCTGTATTCTGGTTTTTTATCATAACAGACAGCCGAAATTTTTTTTGATATTATCAGTGAATTCTTTTTGCCATTTTTTGTCTGCAGCCATATGTTACTTTCCAGTATGGTCCACGGCTCACTACAGCTTTATCTGTCAATGGCTGCCCCGCCGAATCCATTAAAAGTAGTAAAATTGAATCAAAGTAGAGTTCGTTGTGTTTTAATTCCACTCTGGCATTCGGCATCCGCAACTTGTATGCTTTGGCAACCAATCTCCAAATGTCTTGGAATGCTTTTTAAATCTTCTAATTTGCTCTAACCATGGATTTTTCCTTAGATGGCTTGGCGTTGATCGAGATGACGGGGAAATCGAGCGGGTGTTCCGAGTTGCAGACGCTAAGACTATGGCAAGGTTCAAGACAATTTTCAATGATGTTGTCGGTCGAACATTCACTGATTACCACTTGTGGATTTCTATATTTGAAAAGCCAAGGCTCAGTCGGTAAATGAGTTCATATCACTTCTGTTATGGTGTTTGCCTTAGGTCTGAAAACTAGAAAGAAATCGAAGTAGTTAGAGTAGATATAGATAAAAATTCTGAAAAGGCTAAATGCCTACAATTATCCTGCAGTTAAAAATTGAAACATGCAACCTCTTTCTCAGCGAGTTACCCTTGTGGGAACGTTGCTCCGTTTGTAATTTGGTACATGGCATTAGTTTCATGAAGTCTTGGAAATTTTCGTTGGATCTCAATTACAGATGAACTGTCAGTATAAACGAAAGGCCATGTCCGGGAACGTTTTGAAAAATCTTATGATGTAGAGGCTTGATTTGGCCCTGTTAATGATAGCTCACAATATTGAATGGTTGACTGTTGCAATTATGTTGAGATTCTTGCTTAATCTTTTATCTTTTAAATGGTTAAAATCCTCAACAAATCATTGCTCTTGTCCATACAATATTGAACTTTAAACATCTAATAGGATAAGCAGGCTTTTGTCGAAGCTGATTTTCATAACTCATTGTGCCTAGTGATTTTATAAATATAGTGCCTTTTGCGTAATACATTGTTATTGGCAAGAATTGAGTTTGAAGCGTAGAATAAATGACCACGTTATCTTGTTTCGTTCAGGTTTACAAGAGTCCAGCGCCTGACGTGCTGTGTCACGTTTTTGTTATCTTGGATGTGTGTGGATGCCATGTGGTATGGAACCGTTCGTGAAGGCAACATTGATGTTTACATCGGCATCAAAGGCTACTCATATGAAGAAGTGCTTGTCGGGGTTATTTCGTCTCTCATGGTTTTTCCAATCAACTTTCTTCTGGTTTTGATATTCAGAAATTGCCGACTTCCTAAATCGAGAGTACGTCTGTATTTTGTTTTTTTAGTAATTCATATCCATTCATTTTGTTTTAATTTCTTTTTTCGTTATCTTCATTATATTTTTCAAATGGCAATCGCTCTTTGTTAACTTGACTTTGTAAATGGGCTTAGATCCTAGTCTAGAAATTTGTCTAGGTCTAGTCAAGAAAAGTTTATTCAACATTTCACATTATTTTCATTGCTTTTTGATGTTTTGATGACTTGACAAATACTCATTGCAGTTAGAAACATCTTAGTCTCTTTAAAAGTGGTAATCGTCGAATATTGTAAAAAATTCTCAAAATAAGCGAAAAAAAAATTAAATTCATCAGCGTGTCAGTGCATGTAACAATCTAATTTCTTATTCAGCGTGTTTTGGACGGTGATGAGGAAGTCACGATTCACGTGCTTCCAAGCAGCCAAAGAACAAGGAGGCTGTCAGAAGACTGGATTGAAATCGAGGACTTCACGGAATCCCCTCGCTCGTTATTTGCCACTTCGCTTCCGAGATGTGGAGGATACTTTCGTCTCTCCGTCTACCAACCACTCTTAAATCAAAGTGGTAATTTCAGCTTGTCTTGATCAAATGTTGATTCGGTTTAAACAGGGCCTCCGATTAATGCCCCCCACTACTTTGCAAAACATTAGGACTTTTTCAACATATTTTGTTATGATTGTTAGTTTTCCCATTGGCGCCGCCACTTTCCAACCTGCGTCGGAGCCCAGGGTAAAGGTATTTTTTGTTTCACAGTAGTCAAATGTTGTCCAATACCAGTGGCGGATTTAAGGGGGGGGGGTAACTAGAGGCAGTTGCCCCTCCTTCGACGAGTTGAAGAATGAGAATTAAATGAAAAAGTTTCTGAGACCGATAGGTTAATTTGCTTCAAGGATTACCTCAAAGTTATTTTGTTTATTCCGAAAATGGATCTGAAATTCTTGTATACATCATCACCAATTTTTGAACATTTTTCAGCGCCCCCACTGCCACCTGCCCTTCCTTCAAGTTTGCTCTGGATCCACCCCTGTCCAATACCCGCAGGTTACTAAAAGAAAAAACAGTTTTCTTCTTAACTTCCTTTTTAGAATTATGCCTATTTCAAACCATCGGTGTTTTACGTATCAAAACTCACGAGCTATTGTGTTTTTATTTTGTAGAAGGATTACGAAATATGGCGATAGAAACACTATCTGATCATTACGAAGACTCTGAGGTATCAATATAATGCTAGCATTAATTTCGTCGTGTGGAAACTTTTATAAAAACACGCTACTATTAAGCTGATGAAAAGTATTTGAATAGGCCGGAATTGGCCACAAAGCTAATAGTTAAATTGATCAAAGCTATAAGAAAATTACCCTATCGATCTTTATGACCTTTTGAAATTGAAAGCTTCATTGCAAGGTTCCGGGCCGTCGCTTTGGGTGTCACCCCACCTCCCCCTTCGGAAAGTATTTGTTTCAGAAATGGTTTTCTGCCATCTAAGGATGCTATGTCGGTAACATTTCAAGCTGATTGGCAATTGGACCCGTAAACTTTGTCGGCAAATGGGACCTGCAAGCCACCCCGCCCCTACCCTTGAGGAAAACAGCTTTCGACGACTAGGGTTGATGTAAATCGAGATAACCTAAGAAGAAGAAAAGTGATTCCAGCTAGCCCGCTCTCTTTCTATTGGTTGTAAAAGTGTTTGTTTATCTCCGATGACTGATGAATCTAGACATTTTTTAAGATTGTGATCCTTGTGTATTTTCTAAAGGATTCGATCCACTCTGAAGATGGCTTTGAAAAAGCCGTTGTCACATACGGTCAGCAGCCAAATAGATTACATCAAGAACAAAACAGGTAGGTTCCAAAACGATTTTTAAGCCTAGAAAAAATGGAACTTTGTTGATAAGATATGAGAATGTCCAACATTGGTTTACAGAAATAATTTCATTAACAACAAATATTGTGCTAATTGCCTCACCAAAGTCTGTTTTTGTTTGGCATCTTCAAATGCCTATTCATTCATGACAAAATAGATGCAAGGAATTAAGTCTTTGGAATTTGAATCGTGAATATCCTGTATTTGTTTGTTTTAGGGTTTCGGATTCTGTGTCCGTTGGGATGGAAGACAGCATAGCATCCCGTCTCCTTGGAAGGAGCTCTCGCCAGTATAAAAGAGTCCCAGTGTCATATGATGAGAACTACGGAACGGAACATCCAAGATTCCACGCTAATCACCAGAGGTATTTCACTTGCTTTTGTTTGTACGTTTAATCAAGAAAATGGGTCCTAAAAAGGCTTCTTAAGGATCTTTTCAGGCGGGGGGAGGTACACCGAGAGAATTTGTGCGGGAATAAGAAACTGATCGATTATTTTACTGAGTCTACAATATTGAAATTATTTACACATTTATAAAGCGTGTTGAAATTTTGATAGAGGATAGCTAAATTGTGCTCCACGAAAGCCTTTTTTCCAGCACTGATAGAACTAGAAAATTTTTCTGGTCTCGTGTAACTCAGTCAAAAGCTTTCTCCGATGCTAAATCGTGAAATGCACACCAAATTTTACTGCCTATTCCTGCAAATACATCACTTTCAAATTTACCTTAATTCTCAACATATATTTATGCTTTTTGTGCTTCTCCTTCCAGGCCTTCTTCGTGTGGAGCATCGACCGTCTCGACCCTGCAAACCAGGCTTACCACTATGTCGTCGAGAAAGATGAGCGCGGTTGAAACATATGACAGCATGTAAGCATTCCTAATGACCTTTTTTCTGGCTTATAATTATTCTCCATTATAGAATTATTTACTCTTTCTTCACCTCTTTATGTTACGTTGTTTGATTCCACCACGCTTCTAAAGCAGTAGCAGATTGAGTCAGTTGTGTTCCTAGCGTTACTACACCTCTGATATTGAGGTTGGTTTCAGGACGGTAGAAGGCTGTGCTTATTGAGCAGTGACCTAGTCCATTCTTTGTTATGGCAAAACTTTCGCATAAATTTGCATATTTTATACATATCGGGCTACTGCTTTTCGAGTCGCGTGCATTTTACCTGAGTCAAGGACGAGTTCTGAAACGGCATATATACAAAAAAAGGCTTGGGAAATCTGAAAACTTATGATATTTTTCATAGTCTGGCAAGAGAGGCTTATGGTCTCTCTTGGGTTATTGAGATTGGGTATCAAGAACTCTTAACGTTTTATCTATTTTGACTAGCCTACTCATACAGATCCATGTGTTTTGAACATGAGCCGTAGTCCCGTTGATTGAGAATGTGTTCTATTCCACACCCTTTATTTGCCCTATGATTGCAGGGGATGCATTTCGTCAGGCGTTTCCGATATAAAAGAAAGCCAAATAAAGCAGTATAGGGCAGACCAGACGATGAAGAAATACTCAGAGTCGAGAGATGCAAACGACAGCTTCAGCAGTGGTCGGTATTCGACCAGCCGAATCACAAGCTCATCAACGACGCGAACAAACTTTCCATTCCCCAAGAACCTGGAGGACATAGACGAAGACTTTGTATCACAAAAGATTCCTGGTATGTAGGGCGAGCAGCTCAATTTCTGCATGTGTCTTTTTAATATAGGATATTGTGTTTCAAATGTTAAGGGTAGTTGGGCAGACGTATAGCAGCAACAACGACAAAGACAACATTGAAAATGTTAAATTAGTTTTCAACAAATTTCTTTATTTACATTCAACTTCTATCATGGTGTCACTGTTGGCCATTTTGCGTCAATGCCATGCCTTGCTGTAACTGTTTTTACGCGAAAATATAGTCGCAATGCATGCCGATTGCGCAAAAGCCTTCAAGGATAAGCATCGCCAATGTTAATTCTTTTGATCACAATTTCATTTTGTTGTGAATCAAACTACAATTTCGGATAAAGATGATCGAGGTTTTTGCAAAAGCATTACCCAGTTTCAAGAAGATAAAATACCCTCCCCCAGCCCCTACTTTGATGTTGACGCTGTTTGAATTACTCTTAGATGAGGTGGCTACAAGCCCAACATTGATTTCGGGGGATGGAGGGGGGGGGGCGGGAATTTGTTATGGTTATTTTCGTTACAATAACTTTCATGCATTTTCGAAAATAAAAGTTAGTCTCAACAATATTGTCCAAGATTTCAAGTTAAAAATGAAAGAACAGATCTTTACCTGCACAAAAATTAATAAAACTTCACATTTATTTACCTAGATATCCGTGAGTTGCATCAAAATCTGGAGTGTCTTTTGCCAGCATGGTTCGTTGTCGTTGGCTACTTTGGCTGTCTGGCTATATCAATACTTTCCTTCATAATAATCCTTATATACGGGCAGCAGTTTGGCAAAGACAAGGCCCTGAGCTGGCTGTCATCCATATTTGCTGGTCTCTTTCAAGATGTTTTCATCACATACCCAATTCTTGTGAGTATTTTAATTATAGTCAAATTTACCTTTTATTTGCCTTAAAAATTAATAGCAAAAGTCAGGGTTATTGTGGCAGAGCTCATGTGGGCTGCAAAATATTTAATTTGTTGCAAATATAACAGCCAATGCTTCCCCTTATTTTGAAACCATGAAAATCGTTGATTGTTATTTTTGATTAAAAACAAGCAAACAGTTACATTATATTTAGGAAATGTCCTGGGTATGTGGATCAGCTATAAGCAAATTTGAATTGAATTTCTTTACTATAAACAGACTTAACTAAGAGCCTCACAACATATGCATGCCTGCTTTACCATCTTGATAAACCTCTCCCCTTTGTTCGCACAAAAAGTTCAGCTGCTTTCTGAGTTGCTTGCCTTTTGATATATTTTATCAAAATATATCAAAAGACAAAGATATATCGTCACACTTGCCGTATGTAAAAATTCGCTGAGTTCTTTAGAAATTTCATAATTATTTACAAAGCTAACAATCTTATTTGCTAGGAAAAGCTTTTGACAATACATTTGTTTTAACATGCAAACTTTTTAAATAAAGATTTTATTTCCTTTCAGCTTGTCCTAGTTGCCATGCTAATTGCATTGCTTCGGAAGCCCATGAACCTTGATTACGGGGACTTCGTCAGTTGGTAAGGAAATATCTCTCCTTGTTGTCTTGAGCAACCATACGCCACCAACCATCCAGGCAAACTTATAGCCTTCATTTTGATAATGTTATCTCTGTTACTCGACTTCCAATTTTTCTATGGAACCCAACTTCAATCAAGCTGCACCTGATGAATCTTTGTACAAAAGAGGTTTGGTGCTTTCTCGTACCTTGTGTACTGAGGTCACATCTTTGCAACCAAAAGTAGATCTATTTAGCACTTTTATTGCAGTTTTAGCATTATCATTTGACTGAATCGATCCATCCGATACTTATTTTTGAATAAAGCCAGAATAATGGTTTAAGCCAGCCTAAGAAACCGTCAGATTGCCCACTCGGTAGTTCATGAACCCCTAGATTTTCTTGCTTAATAGGTTTTTTACAAGAAAAAAATGTTAAGAAGGAAGAAAATTATCACTTCTTTCAGAGCTTTGTTTATTTGGCACGCAGGAATAACCACAGTCTAATTATATTTTATTACAATATGATTTTATCACTTTTCCCTTTGTACGTTTTGCTCTATGCATCAAATAATGAATCTAAAATTGTCTTCTTAACAGTCCTGTGGTACCTGGAGATTCATCGGCAACCTCGGAGCCAGTTCGAGGCTATGCTTTAGAAGTGGCTCAGAAGCAAGGAAGAGGAAAGAGAGAGATCAGAAGAATTGCTAAGAATCTCGTGTTTCAGCTGATACATTTGTGGATTGTGTTTTCAATTTGCTTAACAGGCTACGAGCCCAACCGATGGATCGTTAAGAATAACTTTGATACTGGATTGGCCTCCAAAAATAAAGGAGTACACAGCGTTAAAAGGTAAGTTGTCAGTATAATGAATAAGATAGAACAGTGCCTGAAACTGTCTCAAACTTTAGCCATTCAGGAGAATCCTGCTGAGTTTTTAGGTACCTGAACAAGAAAGATTATTCTCTCCCTTTTGGAGCTAGGGTCTAGTAAGAACAGTCTTTAGGCTTGTGAATTGTCTCTCGTTATGTATCCAGGGACGGATTAAAGCAACAATGATTAGGCAACAATGATTAGCCCCCCCCCCCGCTATATCCGTCCCTGTATGTATCCATACATTTTGTATATTGTGTTCCTTTTTCCTTTTGAGAAATGTCCTTCTTGCTTTGACAGCATCAACGAATTATGGGATTGGGCGGAAACTGAGCTGCCAAGCTTCCTATTTCCGACGGACGGTAGAAATGAAAACTGGATTTTGCGGTCATCAGCAAGAATGCGTCAGGTCCGGATCCATTCTTCAGATTGCCCGGTTTCTTTCGCTGTTGAAGCTGCTAATATGAGCAAATCCTGTAATCTGGAATATGATTCTCACCGCACCGAGACTGCAACTTTCTCGCCTCAGTGGCTTAGTTCTAAGATGGCTAATACGGTTAAAAGTCCTTGGACTTTTGTTCCGGAAAGTTCAATGAACGGTACAAATTTTTTTGGCCAGTTAGGCGTGTATCCCCATTCGGGTTATGGCATTTCTTTAGGGAAGGCAAAAGTAGAGTTCATTAAGAAAGCTCAAGGATTGAGGGCTGCTGGTTGGCTGGACGTTCGCACGAGAGCTGTTTTTATAGAATTTGTAATGCAAAACATTAACATTAATAGGTACCTAGTAACAACAATAGCATTTGAAATATCCGCATCCGGTATGATTTTGCCGACGCTTGAGATGATTTACCTTCGTGTTCACATGTACGTCAGCAGACTGGATTACTTCCGACTGTTCTGTGAAGTCATTTTTGGTCTCTTGACATTCTACTTTCTATGGCTGATACAAGACAAACTGCGTAGAAACGGATGTGGATTTTTCAAGAAGTTCTGGAATCTGCACTTGTTGCTCAGCTTCGCTGCATCTGGTGCCGTTGTTGGACTCTCCATTTATCGCTTGATAATGTTCTTGGACCTAAGACCTTTCCTGAAAACTGGGGTTCCACAAGGATACGACCTAAGATATGAAGCCATTATTGATTGGTCAATCCAAGCATGTATGGGCTTTGTATGTTTCTTGCTAATACTGAAGGTGAGTTGAAACAATAGCTAAAGCAGTACATATCATACCACTTCGATTAATTAATTGTAGGGTTTATATTTGTTTACATTCTTTGAATCAGTTTTATGTTAGACAGTGCGAGACATTTCTAATTCATGGTGCTATTTGCCATTTCTGAAGGGTTTTCGGGGGGTCGTAGGACTGGGGAGCAGGGGAGCTGGGGGTATAGCTAATAATGCAATTAGTTTTTTGTCTTTTTGTTATATACTGTGGTATTGGAAACAGGCCCTCGTTCTCCTTTAAATCTCTCTCCCCCCCCCCAATTTTAACACACTCCGACAGCCCAACTTGTTGACATTAATTTGATTCCCATTTCGTTTGAGACTTATCATTTCTATCAGTCTTTCTGCATCATTAACATGTTTTTCTCAATTAGATCATATCCTTGTTAACGTGGACTCGTGCATATAGACTGACAGCTGCCACTCTCCGCAGAGGTGCTAAGCATTTATTGGCTCTTTCTGCCGGTCTTGTCCTGGTTCTAGTTGCTTTTGCTTCTTGGGCATATTTGGTATGTTGCTTTGACTTTTTTGCCTTCAAATACTCGTCATTATCCAACCATTGAGAATCACAATTTCTATCGTGTATTGATGTTACTCACTTATTTTGTGGCCTCGTTTTATTTCTCCAAGGAACAGGTTTGAAGCCGTCTTAATTCGTCATCCGAGAAGAAACCTACACAAGATAATCCTGTTGTACTCTTTACTCGTACAAGGCCCACGCCACAAATTTCAAGGTGGACGAGCCAAATTCTATAAGTCAAACTTGACATTCGTGGCGTGGGCCCTGTTATACTCCATTAAGTTTTGTTTATTAACGTTGATGCTGAAGCGTAATTACTCATGGTTGCAAGCTTTTGGGTTAGATTTATCCGCGTTTATGATTTAGGCCGAAATCAAGTTATACATGGTTATACAGTGGGCGAACCGCGCTGCCGCTAAGAAGCCATGTGTTTTTGAATTAGTGATTTTTGTTTGATTAAAAGAATCAAGCAAATAAAGTAATGCTACGACAGACACTAAAGCATGGCAAAAGCAAACTGATACTTTATTCAAAATTAGGTAATTCTAATAAGATTGCAATTTAAAATGGTTGCGTCAATTTATTACTGACTATTTACATTTACATCCTCTTTTCAGGCTTTTGGCAGCAATTGCTACTTCTTCCACTCATTTTGGAATGCATTCATGTACACCTTCCTTCTACGAAATGTGCACCGGAAGGATATAGGCCCAGTTGTGAGGGAGAGTGGTGTCTTCATTGCTTGGGGTATCCTCTACCGATTTGCCCTATTCGCATTTGTCTTCGGGCTGTTTAAAGCAGCTATATGCTCTCATTATAAAGACGGAAGGGTTTTGTATGCAATGGGCAACAAAAAATATCTGAAGGACTTTTTGAAACATTTGTATAACAAGTTTTCCTGGCGGAAGAAAAAATCGGTAGGTTTCGAATTTTCTTTAATTTTCCTTATCTTTTGTCTATTCATTCCTGTTCGCTTTCAATAGAATGTAGTTTGTGAACTCATTCGTCAAAACCACTTTCAATGGTTTTGCGATTCTTCAAAATGATACGATTTTTCAAAATGATAAGATTCTTCACTGGACCAGCTTTGAGATGCTCAAATTTTTTATATGAGTAAAAGATGCATGGCAAACATTGACTTAACAGCTAACAGAATTATAAATCAAAGTTTTGAATTTTTTTCTTTCTGTTCAACTCATTCCATCGTTATGATTCTTTCAGTAAAAGATAAAGAAGCTGCCCAAAAGACCCATATAAAAAATTCGACACCATAAAAATTCCTTTTTGGCCTAACAGCCCCAAATTCGCATCTTTTAATCTTCCTGACATGGTGCTCTGCCAAAACGACATTCGAACCCTAAACATTCGAACATTGTGTACTCTAACATTTACTCAACTTTTTTGTTTTTATGTTATAAACCTGAATCACTTTTCATTGCCAGGGGAAACGCGTCAAGTTCAGTTTGAATCCATCAGTACGTCGAAATACCCTAGCCATGTCACAGCAGACAATATCCCTGGGGTCTGACCAGTGGCTCTCAGCCCATAGCTTGAGGTCATACAGCCATATTCCATCGTACTACAAAGAGCGAATCATGAACCGTCTTACACCGAGCACTGACGAGATCTTGAACTATGTTTACCAATTAGAGCATGACGAGATTTTAGAGGATGAGTTCTACAGCAGGCTGGAAAGCTTAGCGATAGAGACTCGCAGTAAACGCATATGTAGGTAGAAAGAGCGTGCAAAATTGGTATAAACCAGAGCGGAAAAGCAGAGCTCAGCATGCCGGGCTTGTCTTTACACACCAGATAGATATACATAGCACAGTTTATTATCATCAGACGAAAGGATTGTCCGGATAGGATGAAGATTTCCCAGGATCAATAACAGTTTTTTATCGGAGTTTGTTGCCTAGACTCTTTTTAGGATGGAGTTGTTGTTACAACATTTATTTACTGAGAAATAAAAGGGAATCACGCACCACACGCATGATTTACAAGCAACTAGCTTCTAGCCTCTAGGATTGGTTGTTATACACATACATTATTCAATAAACTACGGTAGAAGCATAACAAATTGTAATAATGACAGGTCTAACTCAGATCTTTAACATTGCACTGCGTTTTGACAATCTTTTCTACCATTTTATTTTTACCGTGATTAATTTACACGACTTGCGTGAACAAAGTTTTTTTCTTTGCATTTTTTAAAAAAGCTTCACCGTAGTTGCTTATAATGATTTGTGCCGTTTTTGAATGCAACGGCGCACTTTCAACCATTGTTTTCGATTAGGGGAATTGCTTATAACACCGAGTAGAGCGACGGCAAAATGAACTCTAACACAGAAGCAATTTCTTATTTAGATTGGGAAATGGCAGTTAATTCTAGTGCATTTTTATTCCTGGTTTTTGTATGTATATTACTTTTTTTTAAATACGCTCTCTAGTCTAGCAAGTTCTTTATAGAACTTAATCACAATCTCATTGACTTCCAAAAGTAGTTGCTACAATACAACCTGCAGTACTTGCCTACTTTCTCCAAAAATGAAAATTACAGGACAAGCGATGTTGGCAGCAAGTAGCGTCGCATATGTCTGCGATAAATTTTTAACAAGGAAGCTTTTATTTTCTATTGTCAATTTTTTTTATTTTAATGTTACTCAATACTTTCTGTTCGAAGGTTATGAATTGTTTAAGTAATTAGATTACACGATAGTCCATTCCTAAGATGTTCCATGCCCAATCTTTTGAAAATTCTTTTTATTTACTCCTGGGCGCCAAATGATCCATTGGTCTGGAAAACGGGACAATTTATTCAAAGTCATTATTATGTGATATTCCCTTGCCTTGACTCTCCATTTTTTGCATTGAGGCATGGCACTTTTTCAAAAGGCACTTTTTATTGGCACTTTTTAAAAGACATTTATTTTATAATACTCCTTTCACTTTGTTTATTTGGCTTCCAGGAACAATCACAAACTTACTGTTTTTTACTTTTATATAGATCATTGTAGTTTTATTACAATGAAAAAATTGTAGAGGGATTTGGTATCAATGATAACTTGTAAATATTACTGTATTTATGTTTTTTACTGTAAAGGGCTTTATGGTGGAATAATTTTGTTAATTTTTAACCTCTTAAGAGCGTAGTTAACCTTGTTGGGTTCTTATGACCAGAGTTTACTGACTAATTCCTCAGTTGCTCATTCCATTGTAAATAGTTCATCGCCAGGTGGGGATTTTTAGATGTAAATCGAAAAACTGTGGGATAGAGGTATTTATTTAGAATTGAATAAATTTTGTCAAGGGCTGTAAAGACGTGGCAATCTCTGCCAAGATATAGTTTATAAATAAGAGGAGAATTGAGAATCACGGAGTTTTTTCTTAGCGTTATCCTTTCCCTCCATGGTGCGTTGTGCTTTGCCTTTTGGTCAATACACATCACGTTTTAATGGAGTCTGTGATTAGTGGATTCTAGCATTCATTTAACGGGTTTAAAGGGAGCTATACCCTGGGTACCAGAGCCAAGAGCCACATGAAGTAGAATGTGAAGCGGAGGAGCCTCAAAGGAGCTAGGTGTCACAGCAAATAGATTAAGTGGCAGTTGTAAAAAGGCATTGCTACTTTATAACTTCAAATTTGTAATTTTAATAAATCCCAGCATCTCTGGTATACTTGAGCAGAAATTGTCACCATACTGCCAAACGCAATGAAGAGGGCAAACAGCTTATGCTAAAAGCCAATGATTTTATTGTATCTCTCCTTGTAAGTAGCTTATAGCCAACTTAATTACAGAGGTGCTAAGACAACAAGGATTTCTGGAACTGATGTATTGCATCAAAATTGTGATTCAGATTCTGAACATTATTCCGAATTGTAACTTACGAGCCTCCAACATTAGTATTCAATTATAGAGCTGAAAATCAATGTACTCGTAAGTAAAAATTTTTCATATTTGGATGTTTTGTAAATGTTTGTCTTTTATGATTATGATTCAGTGAGATTTTCAGGGATATGACGAATGTGGATGGAAGCGTTATATATGGTATGTTGGATGGTAGAGCTGGCCCCATGTTTTCTTTGGCTTCTTTTCTTTGGATCTTTAAAGTCTCATGCTTATCGAAGTTGTATTGCACTTCTTAAATTTGAATAAATATTCGCTCATTGTTGATTTATATTTTTAGATGTGTTATGACATTTTCCCAATAAACGGGGGGTGGATTCGAAGATTTTTTTTGAAACAAAGATAAAGTTCAAGCGTCCTTTTAAAGGAAGGTCACACGAGACTTCTCCCCACAATTGTTAGTTGTGGCAGTTTGCCGATATATTTCCCTCAGAATATTTTGCCCATATATTTATATATTACTATCTAATTTAATGATCTCATGGTATTTAAAAAGCTGTCTCTTTCAGCATTCCACTGCATCTATACTTCAACAAAATACAAATCGATTAACGAGCCTTATCTTGAATTTACTTTAGTCCAGGGAAAGGAAGAGGCTTGGCAGTTGCTTTGACAGCGATTCCTTATAGGACAGCATCTCTGCCCAAATGTAGCGATTTTTCAACCCGAAGAACGGAATTCGAATAAAAAATCTTTCACAATTCAAATCATGATCTCATATACGCGATTACAGAACAAAAATCTAATGACGTGATCCACGAAAAAACAAAATCCGTAATGCAACAAGCTTGGACCCCACCCTCCATCCCCCAAAAATGATCGTTTGTGAGTGAGTGAATAGGTTGTTAGTACCAACATGGACAACTCACTACTGACCTAACCTCGCTCGGTTATCTCGTTTTCATGTGAACAGTAATTTTGGACACGAAGATCTTCTGCATTACCGAAAGGAGGGAAGGAGTAGGTTGAGATCAGAGTCCTGCCTGCCGACTATCATAAAGACATGATCAAAGCTGTTTTGGTGTTCAATAATCATGGAAAGCCCAGGCTTTCGAAGTTTTTTGTTCATTATGTGAGTATACGGTCATGTTCGATTTTGTTTGTTTTTATTTAATGCCGATTACAAATAGTGCCCACTTTTAGGCCACCATTTCCGAGTTGCGGTGATCCAAGCCAATGCATTAGTATTGAGCTCATAGAAGGTTGCACGTTATCAGCTGCATCTACTTAATATAGAAACTCATAATTTAAAAGAACTGCTCAGCTCTTTATACAATCCGAACGAACTTTCTCCTGAGAGAGTTCCTGAAAAAAATTCCCTGTGCATGCAAAACCGTTAGAAATACCTTTAGATTTAGTTTGTCTTGTAAACAAGTATTACTTTGTTTTATATTTAATAGATTTTTGTACCTTGTATGCTTGTCTATTTCAGTATTAAACTTTTTTTAACTAAATTAAACTGTACCTACAGGCTGTCAAACTTTTGTTGTGAAAGTATGAGGATATTAAAACATTCCTGCCATTTCAGGGTTTAAAGATTAACACATGCAAAATTAACTTGAGCTCAAATGAAAGCTTATCAAACATAAATGCCTGAAACATGATCAGTTTTTTAATATTCAACACAGTTTTTGAGTTATGGAAGATGTGGAGCCCAACTGAAATTTGCTCCCTTAGGCTATATTTAGACCAGGGCTCTTTGCTCCTTAGGCCCCTCATGGCCTTATTACAATATCTCTTCTTAAAGTAGGTACAATAGCACAAAACTTTCTAACAGGAAGCAGTTTGATATGTTACAAAAGATAGGATATAGAACCTAACTGAAAATCGCCCCCCTTTTCTATTTTTAGACTGGGGTACTTCGCTACAGACCCTTAAAGACGGTGTTATGCAGTAACGGAAATTCAGGTTTTCATTGGGGGGGGGGGCAGGCTTACGATTTTGTGACAAGATAACATTATGGACCATGTCTAATTTCAAGGAAACTGCAAATTTTGATAAAAATAGTTGAATTTTTGACATGACTCTTTAGAAATTTTTGCTGACCATGCCATAATTAAATAGAAGAAAAATCAATTTATGATTTTTGATATCAAGATCAATATCTCATCTAAGACAATTGATGATACAAGAGGTAGACCGACACTTTTGACAAGTCATACATTCATTTTATGCATTTTTTCTTGTTTTCGTCAGTGAGAAACACGTTTGAAAATAACTTTTATTCAGAAAAATCCAAAGGAAATTTTGGCTAATCTTTACGGAATTGAAATATTGTGAATTGTATATTTATAAAATTCACAAGCAGATTTGATTTTGGTCATATATATATTGTTTGATAGATGATTTAGTACTGGCTAATATTTTATCAGCTATACTATAACCTCTCTGTGCCCTTTTGCAAAATATTTATAGAGGCCTCTTGGGTAAAAATGGAAAATACAGATCATGTGAAGCTGCGAGTGAAGCAAGCAGAAAATTTGGCAATTATGCCCCTTAGATTAGCTTAAAATTCCTTTTCAGAATGATTTCTTGGAGTAATTTCAACACGTTAAAAGGTTGTCAATTATCCATCAGCCTAAATTTTCTGATGACTTTGCTGATTGGGAGGCCCTAGCCCCCAAACCCCCATAATTTCTGCCACTGGTGTTATGGCATCTCAGTCCTATTTTAGATCTACAGCACAAAACTTTGCAAAATAGGGCAGTTAGATATGCTAAAAAATTAGGATAAAGACCCCAACTTAAAATTGCCCCCTTGGGCTATTTTTAGATTTGAATACTTTACCGCATGACTCCACTAACAGTGATATTTTGATATCTTTGCTGAAAGTAGGTACATTAGCAAGAAACTTTGCAATAGGTGGCAATCTGATACGCAAAAAATGATAGGATATAGACCCTTGTTCTGTTCTAAGACTGGGGTATGCTGCCCCAGATCGGCATTATCGTATTTCAGTCGTACTTGGGTACAGCAACATGAAACTTCACAAAAAAAACAGACAGTTTGATGCGCTAAATAAGATTGGATATGGACCCTGACTTCAAATTTAATTTCATAGGCACTTGAAGAATGTGGTATGATGGAGTCATTATTTGCAGGAAGACAACTTCATAAAAAATTCTACTCCACTGCACCCCTGTAACTCAAATGAACTGATAAGTGTAAAACCAAAAAAAATTTTCATGATATATTTGAATGTAGAAAGAATTTATTAAAGTAATAATATTTTGGATTCATTCAAAAAACTATGCTAGATACATGAAAATGAAAAATTCTAACATTTGTCTGTATGATTATGTTCAGGATCAAGATCTTTTGGAGAGCTAGAAGTGCCTTTTCCTTCCAAACTTGAAGTCCCTCCTACCATAACGCAGTACCAGCCAGCACATATATATCATACATTTCAGTAGCCTTGAATTTTTATAAATCTTAGATCAAAGGCTACATAGATACATAAAAGCTTTTTGACACAAGCTTTTTAAAAGTCAAACTCAGTGGCCGTATAAAAAATCTACCCGTTTTTCTGACCGAACATTCAAAATACTTGAGAACCCCTGTTGAAGGGGATGCATCATTATCATTTTTTGCTGATAAAAGTTATGATGCTGCACTTATTCCATCAAGTACAGAATATCATATTTTTGCATCATTGAGGCTCACTTTTTCAGGATTTCCACAAACTTGTCTAAGCTAACCTTAAATGAGTTAAAACTATTACAATTAATTTAAAGGGTCAGAAATGAACCTAAAAATCCAAAGAAAAATCAATTTTTGTTCCAGCTGTGAAGACTATTTATATGTTCTTTCTATGAAATATGACAGAATATGAACAGCATTGGACAATACTCCAACCATATTCTAGGGGATGCGTCATTTTCAGTGCTGATAAGAATGATGATGCTTCACCATTTTTTATTAAGTACAGAGCATCACATACCTTTGCATCATATTGCATTCACTTGCTGTTGCAAGCAACTCTTTTGTTTGAACTTTTCTTAAAAGTGTTTGCTGAAAGTCATGTTTTTTCTGCATTTAGGCTGAAGACATGAAGCAGCAGGTTATTCGAGAAACATTCCATCTTGTTTCAAAAAGAGATGATTCTGTATGCAATTTTCTGGAAGGAGGATCGTAAGTTACTCTCAGTTGATCTCATGCATAATCCATGGGAAAAACCATTGATTTGATGGATAGGCAGAAGTCCATGGGACAAAACTTTAAGAACACATTTGACTGATAGGCAGAAACTTCTATATCTTCAAATGTTATTACTTATTAGCCTATGCGCCTGGATAATATGCATGCAATCGATTCACTAGCCAAAAAAAATAAAAATGAATCTTTGGATTGAGATCTTGAGAAGAATTTGAAAAGTGAGCTTTTCTGGGTTGCGCTATTTATTTGCATCAATTTAACATGAAAATTGATGGACTGTGGTCCTTTCAACTGTGGAATTTGATGAACCATGCTTCCAGGTGCATAGGCACTCAATAAAGTTTGAATGAGCCATTCCCGACAAGGCCTGTAAATGCAGCACTTTCTCTGTTTTTTAAATCCCATTCAAAAGTGTCTATTTCATAATGCAGCAGTCCTTTTCGTGGGCAAAATTACATGTGTGTGGCAAATCGCACATGCAAACAAATCTGGGCGTGCGATCGCACTTGTAAGGAAATTTGAAGTGCCAACCTAATAAAATAGGTAAAAGGAGCAAGAAAGGTAAAAGCCTCTTGAATACGTGCAAGAGCAAAACTGAATTCAATCAATACATAACAGATTACAGGTCCTCATCAGAAATACTCGAGTTATTGTCAGAATTATATTGCTTCCAGTGAACAATTACGTTTTGACAGGAAATCAGTTATTAAATTTTTATTTTGATTTAACAATTTTTTAAATTTAATTTATTTTGAAAATTTTATCTCGTTACATTGGATTCTCGTCGCCATATTGCTTTGTTCCTGAATATCTTTCGTATTATTACTCATTCCAAGATTCACAGAATCTGGCGGACAGCTAATCCTAGGGTTCTTCCTTCTTACACAATCAGTTATTACACTTAACATGCTAATGGCGACTTAGCTGAAAGATGAGACGCTAAGTTGAAAGGAGCATTCAGTCATAAGCCAAACATCACTTCCAAAAATTGGAAAAATCATATTGTGGTCAAAAGTGCTAATCAATTAACAAGGGAAAAGGATAAACAATCATGAGACCATGGGAAATTGATGTTAACAGAAAACTGCAAAAACACCTGCTTGCGCGTGTGATGAAAAGTATGTGCAATTTAACTTGCGCGTGTGCAGGCGTGTGTGGGTGCGATTGCACGCGCTAAACAAAAAGGACTGGTGCAGTTTTATAATGATCAAGAAAGAAAACCTGTTTGAAAAATGACTAATGTATTCAAACAATCTAGAATCAGATTCCTTAATAGCCAATGATTTCGCTGACAAAAAATTAGAACAAAACTAAATGAAAATAGCTCTTCACACTTTGAATGAAAGAATTAAATTAAAGTTCCTTGCTTGTAAAAAATTAATTTTTGGGGCTAGACATGCTAGTTTGGTAGTATTGTAGTAAAAAAATTCTCAATTTTGATTGCTTGTTGATAAAAATGATCAGCTTTACCAAGTATTCCCTGTGCTCTGTATGAATGTCTAAAATCTGGAAAGGAAATAGTGGAAAAATTGAAGAAAACGTTACCTAGACCTGTAACTAAAATATTCATATTTGATATTCATGTGTAAAGATTGCCACACCAAAGTCAAGAAAGCTTGAAAGGGAAGAGGATAGAGCTTGATCTGGATGGAAGTTATGGAGTTATTTACTTAGCTGCTTTTGAATGCCACAAGGCCAGTGCTGAATGCCAATCCTTTTTACCTCTTACTTTTAGGTTGATTGGTGGTTCAGACTTTCGACTAATCTACAGGCATTATGCTACGCTTTACTTTGTCTTCTGTGTGGATTCATCTGAAAGTGAACTTGGAATTTTAGACCTTATTCAGGTATATACCTTTCCATTTCAACTGAGATTGTGTTTACTAGTACACATTTCAACTGAGATTGTGAGAATGCAGCTTGAGATATTTCCTGTTGGAGTGCTTGTTCTCAAGTATTTGAGATTCAATTGCATTCCTTTTGAAAGTGGTGCCTCGCCTTTTTCTTTGTTAGATAATAACATAATTTATTATACTAAAATTGTTTTGTTTATTTGGTACTTTTGATCTACACATTTTGTGTAATTTTAGAAGAAAATGAAATGCTTGTCATAGGTCTCTTTATTTTTGAATTATTTGATACTCTTTGCAGTTTTTAGGTTTTCCTTTCTTAAACTTTGTATTGAACACAAAAATTCTAAAACTTTTGCATTAATCTTGACAAGTTCAATGCAGAATGTTTGTTGCTCAACAGGTATTTGTGGAAACCCTAGATAAGTGCTTTGAGAATGTTTGTGAACTGGATCTAATCTTTCATGTGGATAAGGTAAATTATTTTATACTAATGTAAAGTAGAGTCCTGTCGCCATGAGTTGGTTCACCATTAGCAAATACTTGTTATCTTGTTTGAATAAAGGGGATTGTTTTGTTAGGGAGGATTACAAGCTATTGGGCTGGAGAGGAGACTGTAGCCCCCTAACATTTTATTTTATTTGAAAACGAATGCCAATCAGATAATAGTCTTCCCTTAGTTCTGCAAAAATCTTGGTGAACCATGGAATTTTTGTTGGGCAGCCCCCCATAGATTTGTTCTTCCCGTACATTTATACCCTCACAGGCAACCCTGGGTGGATTTCCAGAGGTGCACCACTATGGTGACATGTGGCAAATAAGAAGCGGTCTGAAAAAATACCTTGTTTCAAGAGATATTGAGTAAGCTTTTTCTCAAAGTCTTAATGTTCAACGCTAAACGGAGCTGCAGAAGTATTGCAGTTGTATTTATATCAAAAGCAGAAGACAACAAATGAAACAATGTTTTACCCCACCTGACAAATACAGTCCTAAAATGAACCGAAGTCACTAATGAACCGCAGAAATTATCCCATGTAAACCAAACAATGCTTTGCAGTTAAATATATTGAAATGGCGTCAGCAAATCATTTTCGTGCTAATTTTTGGGAAGCCTCAACTTTAATCGCCTCGTCATCAAACTTGAATGCGAGAGTTTCAAGAATCAAGATTAGACTAGTGCACCAACTCATGGCGACAGGACTCTACAAATTTAACATCAAACAGCAAGGACTAGAAATTATTTGTATTACAGAAGGCTGGTTTATTTAGCAAATGTTAATTTTAGCTCAAAGATACTTTTAAGCCTCCATATTATATTTGGCTGCCTAAACCCTTGAATTGATTTAATGAAAGACAAATTTTTTCAATTGATCACAAATAGTTTTAATTGTTTGCAACAGTACTGTGATCCAAGATTACACATTCAATAAGGACAAGGGTTCACTGCTCCAAATCAACAAAGATTTTTAGATCCCATTTGAATTTTAGGCTTTGTGAATTGTTTGTTTTGATCAAAGGAAATCTGGCAGTTTCAAGGGACCTGTAATTTCTCATGGTACCCTTGACTTTGGCTTTAAGTACTTCTTTAATCTTTTTATTTGGAGGAAACATATCATTTTGTTTCAGGTTCATCATATATTAAATGAGATTGTTTTGGGTGGAATGGTATTAGAAACAAATATGTCAGAAATATTGACGCATATTGAGGCCCAAAATAAATTAGAAAAACAGGAGGTTTGTATAAAATTGTTCATACTCTTTTGTTACAGGAAATATGCAGTGTAGAATGCCATAAACAAAATAAATTTTTAAAAAAGCAGAAGAGATAAATTTGCAAAAAATGTTTTTAATTTTGCCTTTGTTATTGTGAATTGGGAATCATCTGAAGAAACAAAGAAATATTGATCAAATGAACAAAAAGGAAGAGATCAAAACCATTGCAAGCTGATCTTGCATGATATTGGCTTCATCAGCAATCAACCACAAACTCTAAACTACATTTCAAAAGCAACCTTCTGTAAACCTAATGTAATAAATACCTAGGGGTAATGTTTGCCAGACAGTCACTTGATTAGTTATAGTGTTATCCTTGATTGGTTAATTGTCATGTCCCTCATTTAATAAGGCTCAGGAACTGGAGTTAATTTCGAAAAGTTGATAACAAGATAGATGAATGTGTTGTTTAAGAAGTTCTGTGTTTATTTTGCTGCCCAGTCCGATGCCAAAGATGATGATGATGATGATGATGATATCTTTTTGTATCCAACAGGCTGGTATTACTGCAGCTCCAACAAGGGCTTTAAGTGCAGTGAAGAGCATGAGTCCAAACATACCAAACATTGCCAATAACTTGAAGAACCTCAACTTGCCACACATTCCAACTTTCAAGCAAAGTTAGCAAACTTTATTTTCATTTGTAACCTCAAAGGATTGGTACATTAGATGTTTGTAGAATTTCAGTATAGCTTATGAGAATGCTTCTAACAATAGAGCTAAAAGCTTCACTTTGTTTTTTGTAGTTTTGCACTTGGGAAGGAGCCTTTTCTAATGCACACAATACGTTTTTCCATTTGACATGTACTTAATGATGCAAATTTTATAAGAAATTTTTGAATTGAATTGCTATCTTTCATCAGCTACCAAATCCAAATCATACCCTGATCCTGTTTACCTACAAACACATTCCAATTTTACTTAACTTTCAGTCTGAGTTTCTTGGTTATTAAAGTTAGTAGAGGTACAAGTCCTTAACCACTATCTACTTTCAAAAGCTTAAATTCGTGAATCACTTTCTATGGCTCAGTTCACAACACTGTAAGTTAATGGATTTTGAAAATAGTTCGCACCACCTATTTGGGTAATTGAAAAGTTTAATCTTATGAAAGTAGATTTGAATTCCGTAAAACTTTATTTGTAAAACTGATGTAAAAGTTTTGATTTCTCACTTTGAAGCACTATCTTTTGATTTTATCTGTTGTATTAATAGAGTTTGATATGATCTTAGTTCTTTGTCTAGTAATCTTTTAGATCTTTCTAACACCCATGTGATTGTAATATATTTAAGAGCTGTTGTTGCTCTGGGAAATTTTATGAATAATTATTGCCAGTTAGAAAGTTGCTCTTTGTTACCTCTCTAGATCTAATTAGGTTTTAAAATTAATTTTGAGAAGAAAATGTCTTGTTTCTGCTCACTCTCTTTAGATGTTTTACTTCCATTCAAAGCAAAGTCCGTCTATAATTTACAAGATGCTCTCAACAGCAGAATTTCTGTTGTACATAAAGCCAAATCAGCTTCTTCTTCCTCTTTGTAGAAAAAAAATACTGTATTTGTGATCCATTTCCATACAGACATTTCTTTCTCTCCCTTTCAGATCACACTGTTTTATGACAAAAGGACAACAAGCCAGTTTCATATGGTACATTTTCGTAAAATGAATTCTAATTGTGAGCTCTTTACTCACATAATTGAATATTTATTTTCGTAAAATTGAAAGAGATCATTTAAAAAGAATTGAAACAGGGCTTGAAATATTTCTCCAGCATGGTTGGCCCCTCTTCTTTAATCAGCACATTTTGTATAAATATGGATGACAGAACTGCTTGCCTTGCTTCAACTCGTTCCTTCCATCACTTTTGGTTTTATAAACATTTGAGGCATGCAAAAAATTGATCAGTGTTCTGGAAAATATAATCTATGATTTTCTTTTGCTATCAAATATAAAGTGCAATCAAAACATATTTTTGGGGCTTTCATAATTTTTGTCATTTACTCTTTAAATCATATATTATATCTGTCTAAATAGTGGATTTTTGGGGTTTTATCCTATAGTCTAGTGAAATTCAGTTAAGTTATTACTCGCATAGTATTTTTCTGTTTTCTCCATGCACCTCCTCGCCATATGGCAGAATAATTTAAATCCATGTATTGTTCAAAATTTTCGTCCCCATACAACATTTCAATTAGAAAACCTTTGTTACAATTTGTTATTTTGTTATTTCAGTCATTAGCATTATTATATCTAGATAACGGATTATTAATAACATTTAATATCTTAAAAATTTCCCTACTGCAATAAGCTGTCTGCGCACTGAGTTTCCTGAGAATATAAATCAGCCTTTTTTCATAACCATGTTTTACCTAACCGGTTTTCTGGTTTTTCAAGAAACCAAGTTTTGCAAAACATTGACTAGAACCTGAAGTTTAGCATCAAATTTATGGAGAAGGAACACAATAGATACAGTAAGAGATATTCAGTGGCGTGTGCATTGACACAATTAATTCTGTGCCCATTGTTTAAATATTCACCCATCTATATTCCGTTAGATTTTACTGAGCAATTGTATCACTAGATGGGATATTACTCCCCATCACAATTACACAGGCGAACATAGAATTTATTTAAGATTATTTAGTTAATTTCGACAGTTTATTCGACCTTTCGTTGGTATTGGGTATTATTTATGTTTCTTTAATATCTATTTTAGCTTATTTAGTTCTGTATTTGATTCTGTTGTTATCAATGAGAAGTTCGGGGAATGTTGAGCAATTTGGGCTTTACAGAGAAATAACCAAGAACATTTTGATAATTGTATTCCAATAATTGTAGTGCGTTTTTCGACATGAATAATTGCAGTTAAGCATTGTAATAGGGACTTTAGCTGTTGAATGATTAAAGATTATGATATATGCTTGTTTGAGGATCAGCTTGGAGGAGCTGTTTGCTTGTGCGCTTAACTTGTCTCTGTGAGACGAATTATTGCTATTTCACGTTTGTAGGTGCAGGGTGGGGTAACCGACACGTTTCTCTAGTAAGCTTTATCTTGGATGGCTGACTAAATTCAACACCGTTTCACCCACAACTTTGCAAACACAGGTATCACAGACACGATTTCTTGAAAATTAAAATGCGACAATAGAGGGTAAGTACTTGAAACACAATCTTTGAGCAAAATGTTTTTTAAATGAACTGAAGAAAAATTTGCTTCTGAAAGATTATGTTTCTGTGCTCCTATTTAAAACTCCAAAAACCTAGCAATATTTCTTGCACTGGACCACCATGTAAAAACACCTTATTGAAAATTTATATCCCTTACAACAGAGTAGATTTGCGACTTAGAAGAAAGATAGACGTAGAGATTGGTAAGAAGTGGAGTGCACTTGCCTGTCTTTGTTAATTTTTCTACGTATTTAGCTGTCCTCGGAGCTTTGCTACAAAGAATAAAGAATTGAAAATCTGCATGTGAAACGCAATTCGTGATACATTTCTAGTGCTGGCTGTTAATATTACAGGTTTCAATCTTTGTACACAGTGTTCGAGTACTTTCTTAGCTACTACAACACATGTATCTAAATTTCTTGGGGAACCGAAGCAATTTTTGAGCCAAGCCCCTTTGCATAAAATCTCAAAACTTTCTTGCAGTTGTTTTTGTAATGCACATTGTGTTTGCAATAACAGGTTCATAACAGTAATGCACATTTTCATAACAGGATTCCGAAAAAATGCTATCAGAAGCATTTTGAAACAAACAGGGCAATTTTAAAACCAAATTTTCTTCACCTAAAAGCCAGTACTTTTCCAGAAACTGGCTTAAGTTGATGGTAGAAAACCACATTTACCAAACTTATGTTCTTCAACTGGCCTTGAAATTTTTAGCAAACATTTGAATATTATGTGTTGCCTAGCTCTATTTCCGATGAGGGACAACGGTCTTTTTTGACAGCACATTCTAATGACGCCATTCTTTACTCGCATTTCTCGATTTTTATGATACTCGATTACTTGAAAATGTGTTTGGTTTACAACTTCCCATCTGTCTTCATGGCATGTATTTGTATGTATAATCTCAATACAAACAGGAACATACTCGGCTAAATTGAAGAAAGTTCTGTCGACATTTTGAAGAGTTAGCCATAAAGAGTTTCGTGAAATGGCCGTTGCTCTGACCAACCACCTAATCAGGTTGAATTTAACCATCTATTGGACAAATTAAGGTTGATTAATGTGCAAGAAACTTTCAAACAAGAGCTAAGGAAATTTTTGTAATTCGAAGCTGGCGCATTATCAAATCCCATTAAACAAATTCGTACAAGGAAACTTTTTATAGACCAAACCAAACCATCCATATGAATTGATTATTCGTAATGTGCTATCTGAAATACGCCCAGATGTCTCCGGATGTCACAAATGTTGGACAAGGTTTTACTTTTTTTCTTTTATACACATATCAATTTGTAACAATCCTTAAATTTGTACAAATGTCCTGCAGTTAAATTCAAACTTCTCGCAGTTAAACTCAAACTGAATAGATATATTTTTTATTAACTTTTTCTTAATTGGGTAAATCTAGTTTTAATGATTCATATTTTTATCTGTTCTTTAAAGCTAAGGTAGTCTTGTTTTGTTTTAACCATCAAAGTAGGGGTAATGAAAGTCGAGAAAAGTTTTTATAAAACGAGGTGAGTCATCTTTTTGTTGCTGACAGATTTTGAGGTTTGCTGACTAAGCATCCCTAGATGGCAAAAAACTCGTTTTTGCAATGGGAGTTTTTTCAAGGGGCTGTTACACCCCACACGCCCCCTATTATAGCGACGAAGCGACGAGCCTAACTGAGCCACGCAGAGCTGACAATGCATTTTTAGTCCCAGCAACCGCAACAGTTATCATTAACTGTTGTTGGTGTTGCTATGTTTATGCTTCCGGTATAGGCCGAGGCGAGCCAGGCACAGCCCACAGGTTTTCTTGCAACCAAGCGAAGGGACGGTCATCATGCCTCCAAAGAAAAAGGCTCAACAAAAACAAGATGGTACAGAATTGGATTTATCAAAACTGAAAGTGGAAGAGCTACGCACTCTGTGCAAAAAAAGGGGCCTTCAGACAACAGGGAGGAAAACTGACCTTGTAGACCGGTTGCAGAAAAGTGACGAGGATGCTGCCGCAGGGGGCAAAAAGGTACGTCAAATTATCATATTTCGTATGAGTATTCAAGCCATTCCAAAAGTCCACGGAGCTAGCAGTGTAGCTAAATTCACATTCAGTCAAGCAGAGTCCAAATGGGATTCTCAGGATGAAAGTGGATGGCATGCATGATAAGTATCTAATCCCACAGGATTCAGTATTGAGCCCACTTCTATTCAGTTTATTGAACGATGACCTTAATTTCCAGTTAAAAGGATAAGGATTATCCTGGCTCTTCTTTCATTAGAATCTGATGCTAATGAAATTGATACCAAATGGGGGCCCTAATGAAATCATTGTGATAAGTGTGAAGTCAGTGTGAAGTGGACTTTATCTGGATATACACAAACTGGAACATGAAGATCCCAGGTAGCTTGTTAGAAAGACTTGATGGTGATAGAAATTTTGTGGTTAAGCATGTCCAAATTAATAGTTTTTGTAGCTAAATGGGTAACAAGTGTTTGTCTCTTCTTTCAAGGCACCGCAGAGCGTTGGGAAAAGTGGGGGTCCAAAAAAAGTGGGGGGGGGGGGTAAAACCATCTAAAAAGAGGCTTTTCTGGTAGTTTGATACTTAATATTTGGCATTTTTTGCAAAAAGCCCCCCTGCCCCGCAGTGCCTGCTTTCGCTTGTGACCCCAAGTGGGGCAAACTCTTGAGCACTTCTTCTTAATCAATGCTGCTGTTAGTAGGAATCATAAAAGAACTCTTGCCCATCATATTTTTTCTGGTAAACTCTTAAATGTTTTGATATGAGGCTGTGGTAGCTCCTTAACCAGGATACTTTTATGCTTAGCTGTCATGTATATGAATGTATTGTTTTTCAGATTAAGCTTGAAGAAGAAGAAGATGAAAAGCCAACAGTGAAGGATAAACTAGTTGCTTTAGCTGCAGAAGAAAAGAAGAAGAAAAAGCAATGTCAAAGGAGTGTAGACAGTATTTGTCACCTTTCGAATGCAGCGGTCTTTGAGGATTATGATTGCATGTTGAATCAAACCAACATAGGACAGAATAATAACAAGTTTTATGTTATCCAGCTATTGCAGTCTTCTAAAGCTTACTATGTATGGAACAGATGGGGTCGTGTGGTAAGTTATCTTCAAATAACAAGAGATTATATTTGAATGATGGAAGTAAAAACAAAGCCAGTTGTTAGGGAGGAAAAAGAGGATTCCTCCAGGAAATTTCCAAAGAATTTTGTTTTATGTTCATTGTAACGTTTAACACATGTAACAAAATATTTTGACTGTTCTCTTACAGACTTTGTGTAGAGCCCTACTGTAGAAATATCTCTGGATCAGGAAATGTTCTCAGTGCTGTACTGTTTTGCCTAGCAAATAACTTATCTTTTAGAGTTATCTACATTTGTGAGTAGCACTTTTTGAACATTTTAAATGCTAAATCCATGTTTCATTGCAAATTGCCAATATATGTTAGCTCTTTTTGTTAGCCTGAAAACCACCCTTTAAAATGTTTTGTTGGAAACGTAGAAGCCTGATCAGTATTTTTTCAGGGTGAACCAGGCTCCAGTGCATTAAAAGGTCCGTTTGGCTTTGAAGCTGCCAAGAAAGAGTTTGAAAAGAAGTTTAAAGACAAGACAAGAAACGACTGGGCAGCGAGAGATGATTTTCAACCTGTAAAAGGGAAATATACTTTAATTGAAATGGATGCTTCAGATGAAACTGACAATGCTGTTATGGAAGGAAAGGTGATCTCAATTTACTTATGATCTCAATCAGTAAATCTTGAATCCGATTCTATTGATTTACAAATAAATACTTGAAAGATTCCATGCTATCAGTCCTGGTAATATGTAATTTGGCGGCGTGCTGGTTTTCACACGCCTTGCAAAGTTTAGGCGTGCAATGGCATGCGATGGCGTGCAATCCGTTAAATTGAGACCTAACAATTTTTAAGAAGACTGGATGTCACCTTTGTTTTAGAAGGTGTGTTTGAAAAAGCGTAAGAGGTTTTCCTAAAACCAGAATGTTTTTAATGCAATTTTAGAAGAGGTTTCTTGAAATCAAAATAATTTAACAAAAAGGATACTGTTTTTAGACCCTGTTGCCATTACTCCATTTCCGTATGAAAACGGATTCGAGTGAATCTGTTTTAGGTTTTGAGTTTCATTAATGCGCTCAAAAACAGTGTCGTTTGATACCAAACCGATATTATTCAAAAACGTTGTTCAAAGTAGAGTCATTCGAAACAGAATCATTTGAATACGCATCATTAACAGCGAAGACAAGAAGCATTCGAAAACTGAGTCATTCAATCTCAGTTTCAAAAAGAGCTTGAACAAAGTATATGAACGGACAAATATGGAGTAATGGAAAACCCACGTTATCGTTTTGTCCAAGACAGAGTGACCCGAAGGTAATGTGTTGAAGAAAATACGAAAAGAACAAAGAGTGAGAACAAAGACACACATAAACGGAGTAGTCAAAACCGGGCCTAATGGAAACAAAGTAAAGAGGTAAAATGCCTTTGGGAATGTCATCAATATAACCCACACAAAAGAAATTAAAAATTATTTCAGAGAAAATAAACAAGAAAAAAAGAAAAAACAAAAGAGAAAAAGAAAAGCAATTCAAAACATGGAACTGCGCATGCGATGGAAAGCACGCCTTAGGAGTTTTAGGTGTGTGTGGAGGTGTGCACGTTTCGACCGCATGCCTAATATTACCAGGACTGTACTACACAAGAAATCGAATGGAACTAACACAATGCAAAGAAGCTAATCATTAGAGCCCCCTTTCCCAAGATAAAATAGCAATGTTTTAATTTCAAAGCACGATTAATGAAATGCATCAGAAAGGGGCTTCTTGTCAGTTTGCATTTAGCTCAGCATTTAAGAGGAGTGCTAAGATTGTGGGCCCTAGAAAATGATCAATGGTTATTGTTGGAAAACGTAAATTAATTTTGTGCAAGTGTTTTTAAGATGATAACCATTAGTCAAGTCTTCCCTTCACACTGATGTTTTTATCATTTTGAATAAGCAGCAAATCTTGGGTTACACAGAGTCTCTAGAATGACAGGATTTGCATCCTTTGGGTTCTTGAATGTCTTAGGGGTTACAAGGTTACTTGCAGACCTTGGGAAGTAAATTTTTCGGCTTATTTGACAATTATTTTAGTATTCTGTAGAGAGTTTGTAGATGCTGCAACCAATGATTTACTAAGATTTAGTAAGATATTTTTTTGCTCCTTTTTTGCCAATTTTTTTACTTACTGCAAAAATATGATTCTTCAAGTATCTCCTTAGCTTGCCTTAGTATAAATTAGAAAGATAGCCAGTCTGAACTGCTCCAAATGGTAAATTTTAGCTCTCAGCTCTTGATGCCCCAGATGGTGCAGAGAAAAAGTTCAAACCCTGCAAGCTTGACAAAGCAACCCAAGACCTGCTATCTCTCCTGTTTGATAGTGATATGTTCAAGGAGGCAATGACAGAAATGAATCTTGGTATGAGAAATTCTGCATGGTTCTTCCGTTTTAGTCTTTGAAAAAATGCTTCAAATTGAGTTTTAATGTACTATCTCATTCTAGCAGAGGTTAGATGTTTTTATTGCCATTGGATGGGAATGGATAGGTCGTTTTCTGTTCCTTTTTATCAAAGAGTTAATTGTCTTGTTTTCATGAATTAACAATACTTTACTAGACACTCAACTTGTGTTAGATATTCTGTCACCACAGAAATAAAGTGTCAAATGTGGGACCACTAAAGAGGTTACAATGGGATGGCCAGTAGCTGCAACCAGAAAAAGTTTTCTGTTTCTATAAAGCTCATTCTAGACTTAAATATGATCGATAATTTATTAGTTGCAGTTCTCAATATTGTCTTAATAAAAAGTGAAATGAAAAATTATCCAGAGTCATGACTGCATGATAGAAGCTGTGTTTCCTTTTGTGTTTTCATGATAGAATTAACCTTTTTGTCACTTCTTTGGTAGATGTCAAGAAGATGCCATTAGGTAAACTGAGTAAGATGCAAATTGCCAAAGGTTTTGGAGTAAGTTTTTTGCTAGACTGGGATTGAATGAATTCATTTTTGCTTTGTGTCTCAGTAGCTGATTGAAGGCTAAACAAATCCTTCTGTGTTTTTCCAACGTTTTTGGAACATATTTCGTTAGATTATACAATATGATTTAGCATATTTCAAGGTTGGATCATCTAAGGCTTGCAAATACTAGTGGTGTGAGGATTTTACTCTCTTTTATGGAATGTTTTTTCTTGTGATATAAAGAGTTTTAGATGGCATCCTGCACTATCAGTAACTAACAACAGGTTACCCTGGATGCAGCTTTTCATGCAGTAATGAATAACAAATTGACAGTTTGAACAGATGTTTCTTTTTTTGTATTTTACTATCAGCAATTTCTAAAATTTTCCATAGGATCTTAGAAACCATATGTTTTGAGATTAACTATCTTTATCCTTGAGATTAAACTAGAAGTATGTCTAATCATGTTTTCCTTGGTCACCTTATACAGTATAAATAAAATAATTGTTGTTGGTGTGGTAGCACAATTGTTGGTGTTTAGAAGAAATATTCAATGGGTTAAGCAACTTGAAATTTTGCTTGCAGATGCAGAAAATGTTATCAAGGTTTTGCAGGAAATTTGGTCTTTCTTTGTTTTGCAGCTAGAGAAGAAAAGTATTTTTTTCAAAACCTGGAACTTTCTCCCACAGTAGAAACACTTGAAATTGTTCATATGATTAAATTTCTTAAAGTTTGTCATATTACAACGATTAGACAACTATAAAGTTTATCTGCTACATACAAGGTTTTGGAAGAAATTGAGAAGATACTAGACCAAGGGAAAAAAGCTGGTTTAGAAGAGTTAACGTCAAGATTTTTCACAGTAATCCCTCATTCTTTTGGCCGGCAAAGGCCACCTGTTATCAACACAAAGGAAATTCTTCAGAAGAAAATGGATATGCTAACTGTAAGTCTGAGCTTTATTTCATGTGAATTGTGGAGTGTTTGCAATAGCTGATATGGCTGTAATTGTATCCTTTCTATGGCTGTAATTGTTTGCTTGATGATATTTCTTGGCTATATCACTTCTAATCATATTCTAATCAACTTACAAACCTTGATTATTTTGTGTGAGGAATTTGATTTTATTTAAACTTGCTTCATTTTGTCATCTTTTAAAAAAATTGTATGTTTTCACTGATGTGTTTATTGAAACTGCTTTTCCCAAAATAGCTATCTTTTAATATATGTATCTCTTATTTGTTATGAAAACGATATAGTCATTAACATTTCTTGTCAGGTTCTTGGAGACATTGAAATCGCTCAGAGGCTAAAGCAGGAGGAAGAAGAAAGTCAGGTTATTGAGATTTTGGCATTCTTTGCTCACTTAGAACTACTTGCTTAAGATGGGCTCATCTTTTCGCAACAATTAAATGTCATGATATGCAGGAATTCTTTTGGATTGTGAAACATCAAGGTCTGTAAAGCCTCCATCAGAAAATTTGGAAAACTTACAGTTTTTGACTCAGGTTATCTTCTCGAACCTCTTCATAAGAACAATGTCTTTTCACCCTTGTTCTTCTTCCGCGTTTCAAGATAATGTTTTTGCCCAATTCTTGGAATAAATGATGCATTGCTCTTCTGGTCCCTGCATCTTTTGTCAGATTGCACATGTTTGAAGATCATAAATCAGTCTTCAGCTGGAATCATGGTCAATATTTTAAATCTATTCGTCAAGAACAATGCAGGCGTTTTTCGTTATGCTGCTTGTTTTTTTGTCGAAAGATCACACCAAACATGATCACCAGTAATGTTTGTAATTAATCTGCAAACTCTTTTAAATTAATGGATCTATTGCCTTATTCAGAACAACTAACTTTCAAAACTTATGTCAAGTTTTTTCATCGAACTAGACATGGGCTTTTCTTTAGTATTTTAAATCTTGCTTACAGGCTGGGCTTGAAATGGCTGACCACCCAATCGATGTCAACTATTCACTTCTGAGTGCAGACCTAGAACTTGTCAAGAAGGACAGTGAAGAATTCAAGGTATTTTCCTAGCCAGTTTTTATCTTTGCGAAAACAAATTTGAGTAAGATTGAATGATCATAAAATCTGTGAAGACATCATTTACAAATTGCAAAGAATTAAAAGAATGGGAAGTGACACAGTAAAACCAACTGCGTTTAATATATGATTTGATGTGGATTAGAATATGCAAAACATACAAATCAAATCCTTTTTCCTTTCATATGTATGAAAGGATAAGGTCGATAAAATTTGATACTTGAGTATCTTATGGTCCCCTTTCACTTTGCTTTGGAGAATGCCTTACTTGCCAGTGGATAGTATGGAGGGGGCTACTACCGCTCTAATGAGCATTAACGCCTCAAGTAACGGCAAGAATAAAAAAGATTGATCAGCGTGGGAAAGCCTATGAATACTTATAATTTTTCCATTTTCCCTACAGGCTAGCTAAGTAAAACCTTTATTTTCATTTCTAGTACATAAGCACGTATACCAACGCTACAAAGATCAGTGGCTATCGATCAAACTTAAAGATTCTTGATGTCTGGAGAATGAATCGTCATTCGGAGGTATATGATCTTATACACTTGATGTGTTAAAGCCATAGCCGTTATGGCTGGCATTCTGTGACAGAGATCTGTACTTACGGATATATGCCAGTCAATATGTTTGCACTTAATATGTTGGCTTGTGTTCATATTTTATTGCCTCGTGCTAGCACTGTCTAAATTATCTGAGCCTAAGAATGCTCTTTCTGCAACGTGCTTTATCGAATTTAACATTTGATGATTTGTTCGGAAAAGGCACTCCTAATTAATGGCTTAATGGAACGTCCTCGTACCTCGAAACCTATTAAGGTACCCCTCCCAAGCAATGGCCCCTCACTCTTTCAATTGTAGTGTTTTTTGAGTATACCAATGTCGGAGAAAATGAAAAATACTTATTTTCATAGTAGGGGCAGTTGGGTTTTGTTGCAGGAAATGAGCAAACGTTCACATAGAGGGCATAGAAATCAATAGCAATGGTCTCACTTGGTGGAAGGACCAGGACACTGCTCGACAATCATACAAACTACGTTCAAAAGCTAGGTAGCAAAAAAACCACATGTTAGTGATCCAGGTCAGGGTGTGTAGACAAATGATGTTCTTAGCATACTTTATCGTAAATCGGTGAATGTTTGTATACTTTGTTTTTTTGAGAAAGAGACTAGCAATTTTGGAAAAGGGTTTGGTTTGAAAAATATGTAACCTGGTTGAAGTGAGTTTTCAAAATGTCTGATTGCAGAACCCCCGTGTAATTGACCCTTAGTGACCTCATAGTCTTAGGCTACGTGCCACTGTTTCTGATACTGCCATTTTGGATGAAAACTTCCTTAGATAGCCAATAATTCAAGTTTCCAGATTTTGCCATTTTGAAGGGGCTATTGAAATTTTTGAGTGCATCTTGATGTTTTTTATTCCAGGGTGAACGGTTTAAGGAACACGATGAGCTGAAGCATAGAAAGCTTCTTTGGCATGGAACCAATATTGCTGTGGTCGTTGCTATTTTGAAGAGTGGTCTACGGATAATGCCGCATTCAGGCGGTAGAGTCGGAAGGGGCATTTATTTTGCTTCAGAAAATGGCAAATCCAGTGGATATGGTAAAGGCCTCTTGGTATTTTCATTTGAGGAAAGCCTATAGGGCTAAATATTTCAAGTGCCTTGTTTAACTTATGCTAGAAGCTTATGTTCTTCGGTTAACTGTTAAGTATAATTTGAAACTAGCAATGTGGTGTCATAGAAGCTCTTTTGTGCCAATAAAATCTTAAGATCACAAACGTGTATCGCATGTAACCAAGTTAATGATTTTTGCCCGACAATGCGCTGGAGAATTAACATTTCAGCTTTCAAATAAAATCGTTTTTGACATTTTGAAGAACAACCTCAGGCGTGGAGCTTTTTTATTGAAGAGAAATCCACACATTGAGAAATTCAGCCTTAAATTACGTTTATGATCATGTAGTTGTCACTGGTAAGTTTTATCTTAGAGCTGAGTATGTGAACCAGTTAATTACGTGCTTCCCACTTTCTTATTATGGCATACTATACTTGCTTTTTTTTGTCAAACGTTGTTTTTTGTTATCATCATCTTTCTATATGTTTTAGTTGGCATATCATCAAAAAATATTGGCATTATGTTCCTTTGTGAAGTTGCCCTGGGGAAGGAGAAAGAGATAACAGCGGACGACTCGAGTTTAAAAGCGGCTCCCAAGGGATATGATTCAATTGTAGCAAGAGGCAGAACAGAGCCAGGTTACCTCTTTATCTGCTTTAATTTCTTTCTTGGAAAAAAGCTCAACAAATGCATTCCATTGATTAAAATAAGAAAGCTCTGTTAGAAGACGTTGCCACACCTCTCATCAAATCAGGTCTTGAGGCTACATTCCCTCATAACAGGAAGCAACATTCGGCCGTTGATGCATCGGCACAAGTTGCTTCACCTGAAGCGTTCAAAGAATCTAACCTTTGATATAGCTTAATAGACTCAAGTACAAGGAGCTTTTAGTTCTAGGAAGGGAATGGACAAGGAAAGTTCACTTTTCCCCACCAGAGAGCCGACCCACCAGTCCTACCTTAGATACATATTGGGTGGAACGCCGGCCCGCGACACACCGAACCAGTGGACCGCAAGCCCCCCCAAGCTGCAAACTAGCAAAGAACTGACGCCATCCCCAACACACAAAACCCCCTCACACAAAACCCCAACACACACGACCTGCCCCCTGCTGAAGCGTGGCTCCCGCCCAGAAAAGGCTCCCGCCAAAACGAGGCTGTGGCGTGCTCCCCCGCAGAGTCTACGAGAACCGCGCCCTCTGCCATCACAAAATTCTTCCTCAAAAAATTGTGCAAAAAACACTCGCACTCAGCATTTGCTTTTCTTCTTCACAACTTCATGCAGGGATTTAGAATGCGTTACACGAAAACGTACGAAAGCAGGCCAAACTAATAGAAAATATATCCTGTATAGCCCCGTTATCAGAAAATGTCTTCTTCTACTAATGCTGGAACAGTACAAGGCTAATTGTGGAACTTTATCACGTCGGCTCAGAATAAAATCTTCTGCTAGTAAAAATTGCCATAACTATTTTTTCCACTTTTATAGCCCTTGTTGATTACAGAACACGCTAAGATCGTGTCCCGTCCATTCAAAGGATTCAGCTCCTGCCAATCAAGAAAGTTTCTGAAGTTTTGTGCGAATGTGAAGCTGTAACTGTAGGAGGAGCTTGTCAGCAATTAGTCTAGAGAATGAAGCAGCATATTTCCATGAGCAGCAGGAAAAGGTGTGTCAGGGACCACGCCCTTTTGGACCACGCCCTTTCCCCCCTGTTTGAAACATTTTCTTCCGGAGGAAACTTTCTGAAGAAACGGGGGGGCTATTCCCCCCATTTCCAACCCCCTCCCCTCCCCGTTTCTTTTTATTTGATATGTTTTGGAATATGTCCACATTAAAACAAAGATCCAAATCTGCGCCGTCCAGGTTTGTATTTTTTTAAACTCAGTAGCTGATTAGTTAGCCAATCAAAAGCACAATTGCAAAAATATCAGCTGAGGACTGAGGGGAGGGGCTGCAAAATCGCAACACCGTCTGTCCAGGGTTGTAGATTTCCACCGCCTCATAACAACCACAAAATGCACTTTATTCTTGCTTTATTACATTGCTGTTAAATGTTCTTTATGTCTGATAAACAATTTCTTCAACGTACTTCCATTATGCTTTTCATTACCAATGTAAATATAAATATCCAGTCTGCTATTTTCCTATCTTACAGATCCAAAGCACGATGTAAAGGTAAATTTCGATGGGAAGGAAGTAATTGTTCCTCAAGGCAAACCAATCAACCAAAAAGAGTTTGCAGGCAGTCATTTTTCCCAAAGTGAATATCTCGTGTACAAGGAAAGCCAAGTCAGGATGCGGTATTTGCTGGAGTTTCAATTCTAACAAAGTATCTTTGAGTGGTTTTTAGCAGTTTTTAAACAGAAGTAATTTTTGTTTTAAGGTATTTTGATTCTTACGATGTTAAGCACCGTTAAGCTGTCATTAGGTGAAAGAGATGGCACAAATTTTGAAAATGTTGATAAAAAAGTAAATTGCACGGACAATTGCACGTACGCATGCACTGATAGAAAGATATATAGATTGATAGAAGGATTGATTTTTGCGCAGTGATTTTTGCGAGTTTCTTTTTTTTTGTATCGAAATACCCGATTTTTAGGTAAATTTTCTGAGTCCTATCAAATGATTTTTGGCACTGTGCACATGTATAAGATTAGAAACATGACGAAGATAGAAAACGGCTGGTTGCAACCTAAAAAGTTTTTATGGCTGATACTCTTTCATTCCTTACTGTTCTGTCGCAAAAAGCGATTTCATCATGCAATATTAATTTGAGATAATGCTTAGCTGTTGAACACCAATCCCTTTTGTATTATGTCAGAATTCAAGGCTTCAGCGGATCGTAGCTTGCTGTTTCAAAGCAAGTTAATAGAAGAAGACTATGAGTGGGGCAGTTTCTTATAGCGAGTCTTTTAAAAAATAAATGAGTGCCATGGAAATAATGTAATTCTCTTAATGAAGACAGTATTGCCGAGTCGTAATCGTTGTGTCATTTAATTGATGAGTAATCTCCGGCCTAAATTTGACAGTTCTGATATATCATTTCTCCGCAAATTTCCTTCTTAGGTATAAAATCAATTCAGTGCTTTCCCCTATGTTCTGACTAATGATGAACAATGTCCATTACGAATAGCCTCGCGTTTCAAAAACGTCACAATGACTGGAGCACAAGCAAAGTAAAGCTTAACCCGCAGGGGAATTATGATTGCCAAGTTCACATTCGGTTTTATAAGGTTCCTAAATGAACATGGACATTGTTCCTAATAGTGTATTGGTGGGATTTAAACACTTATGCAATTTTTATGCCATTCACCACTATTAAGGGGGGGGGGGGCCTTAAGCTTAATGTGGGTCTTCCCCGAATATTATTGCTACATTGACATAGAACTGTTATAAATGGAGCCTGAGCTGCGATGAATATTCAATGCTGCCCTCTCAGCCCCTGTATATCGTGCTTCTATTATTACTAGAACGCGTTGTGCCATACCAAGCAGGAAAACAGCAAGCTTCTTCAAGCATGGTCACAGCTTTGAAACAAAAACCTAAACATATTTTGGTAATGTAACGTACATATAATAGTACAGTCTCTCATCCCCTTCCTCCCTTTAAAAATTGGTCGCATTAATCGCATTAGCAGAAATTCAGATCAAACTGCAAAAATATCAAGATTGCTCTGGAAACCAGGAAACTGTAAATTAGTTTCAGTTTCGTTTTGGTTTTGATCAAAGTACCTTGAAGAAGAGGAATCGTGTAACAACGGGAGTATGTTTCAAAATCAGAGTCCAGAAATATCCTTAAACTGCGTCCCGTCAAAATTTTTCCCTGTCAAAACCTTCCTCCATTTTTCAAGGCAATCACCTTGAATAGGGCGTGGCTAGGGAGTAGCAAGAGCATAAAGCGTGAAAGACGCTGTAAATTGAGACAAAATTTTGTGTTTTGGTCGATGGTAATTATCGCGTACGATAAAACTTTTCTAGAATAACATTCAAAACATTACAGCTCGAGAATAATATTTCTTTTTAAATGTCAAATGATAAAATCGATATGAACATGCTATAATAAAAATTGAAAAATTTCAAAACCATGGAGCAGAGGCTCATTAAGGGTCCTTTTTGATGTTAGTACTTAAGGGTCCTGGGTCTTAGGGTCTTAGGGTCTGGTTTTCACGGTAATCACCTAATTGTAATGTTAACTGTCCGTCTAGTTCGCTTGTTGGTATTTGGCATCATTTAAGTATGAAGGAAGCGCAAACACTGTCACCAACAGCCCTGTGCAGAGAAATATATCAAAAACTAGTTTTAGACATAATCGATACTTTCTGATAAAGAATGGGGGGGGGGCTTGAAATTTTTGCCATTAGATTTCCCTATGATCTCCTTTTCTCAAGAGTTATCCCTGCTTTGATAAGAGAAGTTGCAGTGGGTGACGGAGGCTAAGTAGAAAAGCTTGCGCTCACTAGCAGTGACAAGCAAAATGCACACCTTGAGAAAGTTTTCCAGCAAATTCTGCTCACAGCTGATTTTGATGCCACATTTACTGAAAAATTTGATTTTTTTTCCCCGGAATTTATTTAAGGCCTGGTTTGATAGATTGACTTTACAAAAACAAATTTTATGGTGGTTATATTTTATCTGGAGATAAGTTGTACAACCTCTGGCAGGGTACAAGGTCTACCTCGTTCCGGAAAGGAGGCGGGGGTTCAGGTTTTGAAACAACTTCTTCCGGAGAGCTTGCACAGTTTGTTTACAAGTTAGCAGCATCATGCACAGCAGCCATTGTCTGCCAGGCTGACGGAACAGATGATAGATTGTTGTTCTCAGAACAGGCTGGGTAGATAAATGGCTAATAGAGAGCTTACGATTTCGCTACGCACACGACTACGACGGTTGATTGACCACAAAAAGGTTATCTGCGCATGTCCGAAAGGGAATCTTCCTCTGTGACCTAACCGTAGTGAGGTTTTTGACTACTCGCTTGCAGCCTATTCAACGTACTCACGACTACGCAGGTAAGAAATTGATTTATTTCTTAAATCAAACTGTTATTTATAATTATTATCAGTAATATAGTTTTCTCACTTTCTTCACAATATTTTAGGCACGTTTTTAAAATTCAAATAATTTTTTTCTCAGTTTTAGTGTTCATTCAACAATGTCTGCCAGCAACGACTCGTGTCCAAAGAAGTTGCAGATGTGTGTATAAAGAGATTTTGACTGTTGCCTGATATTAATATTAATTTACTAAAATTGATAATTACGTTAGAAGTTTTGGGCTGAATTTTGCCTTACGCACTAACATATGAACGATGTTTCTCTATGTCTGTTTGTAAAGAATAATCTCGATTTCTGCAACTTGACTTTTCCTTTCTAATTTGTATCTGTGATCAAAGGGACAATTATAGACTATAATATAGTACTGTGGCATTTATGTATCGGACCTCTGCCAAATATTATGAGAATGGATTCGTTTCGTTTTTGAAAGGGTTATTGCCTGCAAAATAACAACCCCAAATAACTTTGTTGACACCTATAATTTGTAGTCCTTATGAAAATCTAAATATACCTGTTCGAACAAGCAGTCTACAAGCCCATACCTACTGAGATTTGTTATGCATGGATTTCAAAATGAAAATGAATTGAACTGTGATTGACTTTTGCCTAGAAATACCACAGGTTAGTTTTTAGCTGTTTGTGAGTATATGTTAGCTGAAATATAGGCCCACTATTAAGTGGCGATGATAAATAGAACTTTCTGTTGAAGTGTACGATGAAGAGTTGGATGAAATGTACAGGTCAGATAATGTTAATTGGGACAGAAATTATTTCTTGATGTCTGCTAGAGAACTTTCTGATCAACCTTTGATTGTATTTTCAAATTACCCTTTTCCTGGTATAGGTCTTTATCCATGAATATTTCAACAGTTGTTGAACACCTAAAATAAATGTTTTTTAAGTCCTATATGTTCCAACAATAGCCAAAAATTAAAATAAAGAGTTTCATTGTCCTATTTTTTTTAACTCTATTTGGTTATCTTTTCAAAAGAACTGCTAACTTGAGCATACTAGTCATTTGGAATCCTTATTTTAGATTATGTTGGGAATTGTTTGGTACTTGTAATTGGGTTGTCACTTTGCTTCTTATACCCAGGCCTAAGATGGTATGGAGCCAGGAACATGACCTTCTGTTATTAAGAGAAATCCTGGTTTCACAACCTTTCAAATTCCCTTTTGGCAGCAGAGAGAGGGGGCAATGCTGGAGCAAAGTGGCAAAAAGGTTGAATGACTGCCAAAATCAAAAATTTTATGTAGACCAGAGGGCAGTGAGAGAAAGGTTTGCAAAAATAGAGAGGGATTTTAGAAGGAGAATGGCACAAGAGGAAAGGGCCAGTGGAATAGCAGTAGAAGAGAATGAGCTTGACCAGGCAATGGAAGATATTATTGGATTTACAGAAGCAGCAGAGGAGGAACTTGCCAGAAAAGCTGAAGAGAAGAAAAACAACAGAGAGAAAGAAAAGGAGACAGCCGAGGATGTGAGAAAAAGGTCAATGGAGAGGCTCAGTCAGACACAAGTGCGAGAAAAAAATGAAAGTGAGAATAAAAGGAAACGGTCAGGTGAAAATACTATGGAGTTTTTAAGAGAGAAGGCATTGAAGGAGTATGAGATTCAGAAAGAAGAAATAAAGTTAAGAAAAAAAGAGATGGAGATTAGAATTGAGGAAGCAGATAACGTGAAGAAGAGAGAACAGTTTGAGAGGGAGCAAAGGGAAGAGGAGAGGAAAAGGAGAGAAAAGTATGAAGAAACCATTATCAGCCAACAACATCAAATAATTTATCTGATGCAAAAACAGCAGGAGCAACAGAAACAGATTTTGCAGCAGATGCAGCAACAAAATACTGCAATTATTTCCATTTTGGCCAAGTTGGCTGAGAAGCAGTAGACTTTAAATATTATTTGCTTCTCCTTTTATTCATTGTATAAAATAAATACATACTTGTGCATTCCTTTTTTCGTCTAGCTTCTGCATGGAAAACAACTATAACTTTCCACTAGTTGAGGCACTCTGATTATATATTGTCTTTAGATTAGTACCACTGATATCAAAACTTTTTGAAGCTTTGATTGAAAAATTTACATTGCTTTTACTTCTTTCTCAGGCCAGGGTTGGTAATTTTTTAAGGCAGGTTTTCAGATATTTGACTATTTAGAATTATGTTTGATTTTAAAATAAGGTTTGGCTTGTAGCTCATTTTTTTCTTTTTCTGGTAATGTGGTGTTGAAGTCTCTTGAATGTTGACAACCATATTAAATATTAAAAAATGGTATGTTGTGTGAGAGATTATAATCACATGCTGCATGGGAAAACACATTCCCTACTCAGAACATTTTGGCCCAAGTGCAATTGATGGAAAAAAACACATGCAAAACAATTATTATATGTCTGCAAAATGCATTTGTTAATTTTTCTTAAACCTGTATGGCATAAATTTGGCTTTTTGCACTTTCTTGACAGCAATGTGAATTTGCCTTATTGTGGCCTTGGCTTGAAGCATGAGCAATGACCTACCAACCATAGCACAAGTTCTGAAAGTACCCAGAATATAAAAAGAAAATAAGTGTGTGTGTTATCTGTAGAGAGAAACTTGGCAAATTTGGTAGCTTTTAAAAAAGCTGTTTTATAGGGTGATCTTGAGACTAGTTTCCATCTAAATTGCTAGTTTCCATTAAAGTAAAACTGGAGGGCAGGTGGCTGTAAATCAAAGAAGGTTGCCGTATTTGATCCATAGAGGCAGGTTAGAGCATTTCGTAAAAGAGCACACACAGTATACATCTTCCCTACAGGGCTCAAACCAATCTTTAGATCTTTTTTGAAATCGCAGAACTTGAAGTAAGACACAATTTCACCAAAGACCCACTCAACTGAAACACGAACCTGACTCATAGACTGGTTGAATGCTTGCTGTTCTAGGGTCAAACCTTGTCTTTGCAAAAATGGGCACTGCAGATGTTCTCGTAGAGGGTAGGCTGGGTCACCATAAATGCAAAGTGCTTGGCCATGGGGTGCAAATGAGTGCCTTTCTAACTCACCCAATAGCCCAGACATCACAAGCATAGCAGCATCATGCCTCCTCCCCTCTACAGGGCCAAATAAATTTGCAATCATACCATTGGGGGCAACAACAGACTGAAATTTCAACGAGTGTACTCTCTTGTGGCCATTGTAAACTTCCCGTTGATTCCTATTGGGTCTGCATATAGGCCTTACAGTCCCATCTACAAAACCCCAACAGTTATCTAATGCTCCCCCTTTTCTATGAACGGCATGTGCAAACATAGCAAGGTTTTCCCTAGATAACCAAGGTTGATCCATACTACTTAGTAGATGACCAAATCTTTGATAAATTTCCTCGATTACCAGGTTACTTATCATTGATAATTGGGGAACAGGCCTTGCAAAGCGATGGATCAGGTCACTATATCTGCATGGATATGCAAGCCTTCTCAAACAAATACACGTCGCTTCAACTGAATCAACAACCACCCCGTTGTAACATTTAAATTGGGCAGGAAATCCGAAAATATCTACTAATGTGTAGACATCATCCTTCCACATCCGAAACTCGGCTTTACACTCGTCTGCGCTCATCAGATCCAAATCGAATTTATCATACCTCCAGTACGGAAAATGTGGATTTCTTCGCCTATTCACATCATAGAGCAGCAGAAGATCTACATCATCGATAACATTCGCGTCATAATATCCCAAGAGCAGGTTATTTAGATTATCGATATTCGCCATGCTTATTATTTTCTTCACAGTTAAATTTGGCGCCAAAGTACCACCGTCTTGACAATCGTAAGCGAAAAATTCAGACTACGCAATCGCTACGGGGGTCCCAGACCTCCTAGCCGTCGTAGTCAGATCCGTAGTCAAATCGTAAGCTCTCTAATGCTGTAACGCAGACAGGGCGATCAAATGGGGCACGTGGCGAAAACTATGACTATGCTTTCAAGGTAAGACAACTTCTATTCTGCATAGATTTTCTTTAGGCCTGTCTGTCTTTGCGAAATTTAGGATACATATGCAATTTTGGACTAAGGTGGTTTCAGAAAGTTCAAGTAGTTGGGTTTAATTATGAATAATAGAATTTCGGTAAGCATACTAGCTTTGAAACTTTTTCTATGAAAAGTTTCGATTTTTGTTGAACGCCATATCGTTCACAATTGAAGTATTTTGATGGCAAACTCTAATGTGTAAGAAACACCCACACCTTCCTGCCTGGTCTTAAGCCAATTTTCGGAGTAGGTTAGATTAGGTCAGAATTAGTCAAAACAGTTTATAACCATTCGGGCGGCTGATAATAAATGAAATGTAGCGTGGAGGAGGTTACGCATACAACTTGGTTGAAATATTTTTTAATCGTGTAAACGAATCGTGTATGTTGTTCATTTGCAAACTGTTTAATCTGACGAAATAAAACAATCTTTTGTTCTTTCTGACACAACTAAAACAAGCTCTTGAAATTCGTTTCAACCAATGCTAAAAATGTTTATCGTTGCCGTAAATTGTTTAAACTAATAAAGATGTCAATTTTCCTGTTTTGAGCCTCATTTTAGCTTACACCATTGAATGTCCAGTTGTTCTTAGAAAAGGATTATCCTGCTCTTAATATCTTTAACCTTAGCAGATCTATCAAATTCCCTTTTAACTGAACAGAATTTCCTCCTTTTCCCACTTGCTCCCTATTTTGGGTTTATCCACTGGCTTAGCTAAACACAGACGTACACCTGTGTTTGCCCAGCATTGATGGTCTGTGTAGTTGAAATGCCACACCCCTTGTTGTCATTTACAAAAGTATTTGCCTTGCAAGAAATAATGTATTGTGTTATTCCTGAAGTATTTTACTCATTTAAAACTGAACAAAATCTTCCTTAGGGCTTGTGGCACGCAATGTATGATTTATATGTTGGCAGAGTTTTACATTCTAGAGCAAAACCAAAACAATTGGCATTTATGAAACCAAACAAAATGTGTATTTTGTCATTTTTGGGTGATCTTCTTAAAAGGGCTGTTGACCATTATAAAAGAATGGTCTTTTGGCTGTAAAAATTAACAATCAATCCTTATTGAGTTACCAAAGTAACAGGTGTTTTATTTCCATCTGGTTTCCTTCTCCTGGGGCAAAGTATTTCCTTGAACTGGACTATTGATAATGTATTTTAAAAATTTTGATATTCGTTCTGCCATTTATACAAAGTCATATAGCTTCATGAGCAAAGTTTTCATTGACTGAATTATGCCAAATGAGTTTCCATAACAACAATATGTATCATTGCAAAAATTCAGACTAAATTCAACAGAACCTGCACCATGCCCTTAATGTTATCTTCTTTAAGATGACAATCATTGTTTTGTTTTTTGCTAAGATAATGGAATATGGGATGTTCTGTGTGAAAATCCTGTATGGATATAGATACCATTGGCCATAAAAGCATTTATGTATGGATTAGTCATTTGAAGTTAAATGGAGCCAATGTCAATGACTTTCAGAATATCAGAAGATAGGTTGAAACAGTACCCTTCAGGCATGCTGGAAAGAGGAGGGCTGCAGCTCCTTCTACTCTTTTCAAAAGTATAATTTATTAGCTAACCCCTGCACCACCTCTCTTTTTATGAAATGGGATAAGTGCACAGATTTTGTGGTTAGCTTCTTGAGCACCCTTTTCTACTCCAAAGTCAAAATATCTTATTTGAGATCTTCTATCTCCTCCACCATATTTATTCCTCTGATTTAACTTATATTCAATTCACTTTTATTTGTGTGATCAGATTTATGGCATCAATGTCATTTTCTTATTTCTAAATTGAACAAAACCCATAATGGTTATAATTTGGCAGACAGGCAACTGCCTCCCCTATCCGAGAAAAATTCAAACCTGTATCTCATTGTTATTGTTATGCCCAAAAATCAAACTTTGGGTAATAAAATTACCCAATTTTTTGAAGATAAAGCCAAAATTTCAGATATGATTGTGCCACAGGGAGCACTTAATCTTCCAAAAGTTTGGATGCCCCTGTCATTTATCAATACCTTCACTAGATTTTATGCTCTCAGCTGTTATCACACAGAGCTCAATTCCTGGATGGCTAATGTTTTCAAGTTTTACTTTTTGCCAATGTTTTTCCTTCACTTGAAAACTGAATTCATGACACACATACCCCTAAATATGTACTGCCGTTTGGAAAATAATATTACACTGTAGATAAGATCATGGATTCCAAAAAATGATAACTGGGAGAGTAGCTGTACTTCTTAAGTAATGAGAGAAAATTATTGGGTTTGGTCAGATAGAACTCAGATATTGTCCTACAAATTCCTGCAAGGAATATAAGGAAACCAGAAACAAAACCTTTGGTGACCAACTAAGTGATTGTTTGATTTCTGATCTTAAAAATGGGAATTCTGTTAATCAGTTTTGCTTTCAAATATTGCTATTCTATGTCTCTTTTTGCTTAAAAGTTTTTGTATTTGCTTTCTATTGTATGTTTAACCCAACTCTTCATGGTGGATTATGCTGCCATGCAAATCTTGACGTCTTTCTTAACAGGAAATAGCAACAAGGCCGGCAAAACAGGGGGGCAGGGGAGCCATGGCCCTTCCACTTTTCTGCAGAGCAAAATATTTTTTTAGGCAAAGTGGAAATAAATCTAGTCTACCATTCTGTAATTAAGTGTTCTTAGTTATATTTAAAAAATGACCTTAGATTAAGCTTGATATTAAATAAGATTAAACTTAAACTTAGGTTAAACTATGTATTTACCAAAGAAGACAAACAGAGAATTGAAAATGGGAATTTGGTCAGAAAAGTCGGTCATTGTCCAAGTGGTGCATCGAGTAACAGCTTGGCTAAGGGAATAGATCAAGAAAACTGATTCAGAAAGACTTTCTTGCCTGCACCAAATGATGAAAATGTGTTTTTTCTATAGGCTAAACATTGCTCCCAAGGTCTATTTGTTGATGGGAAGTTTCTCAAAAACTGTCGAAGGAAATATGAGAATTTTTGTTGCAAAATTTTTCATTTTGAGCTGATAGTGATTTTGTTGAAATTTCAATGTTGATGGTTTTGTTGAAGCTTGATTCATCCATTTTCTCTTCCATTTCATTTTGGCTCCTTTTTAAATCTAAGAAGCTTGATTACGAGCTACAATTAAAAGGTTATTCCAAACATTTGCAAAAACTTTCCTATTACATGTCAACATTACAATATACGAAATTATACGACACATTGATAACTGAAAGCTTGAAAATATTTCCTCGGATTTTCCTTCAGTCAAAATCCATATGGTGGCCTTTCCTAAAACCTTTTATAACCTTGATTCTTTGGCCCCTCCACTTTCAAATGCGTTTCGCCGGCCGGAGTATGACCGGTCATTTGTGCTTACCTTATATGGTTATGCAGCTGTTTTTCTGGGTTATCTGTCAAAATGTCGCTCAGACAAGCATAATAAGATACAAGTGCCTCGAGGATAATGATTTCTCGGATAATGATTTCTCGGAAGGCTGTAAATGAATGAAACAAGCTGACACATTGTCATTGAATAAGAACTTGGCATTAACCAGGGTTCTGGTGATTGTTAATAGTCATAAGCACCTGAGAAATGCTTTGGTTTAGATGCAAGTTAAAAATATTGATGGGGCTCAGAATTTAGTCTTTCCTGGAACTCCTTGAAGGCACACACTGTATTTCTATAGAAATATTGAAACGTTGTTCTTATACTTGTACAGTAGTCTCCTCGCCAAATGTTGTTTTAAAAGATTAATTTAACATTAACATATTTAGGCTTAAATTTTATATCGCCTGGAATGGGACTTTAGACGAAGTGACTATAAGCGGAGTCGACTGTACGTAGTACTGTACCAGGTATATTACGTGTAGGCACCATTGTCGTAGTAACTAAATGTTTTTATAATTGTCTCTAAACTTCACGCGGCAGTCATCATTCGGTTATATAGAAAAATTAGGTGAAAAGGTATAGTTCCTGTATAGAGTTTTTTTAGCCGGCGAAATATTTTCATCAATTGTTTGGAATATTGAAACAAAGTTCAAGGACTGCATTTGAATCTAGATGACATTCGACCCTTCCTGCAGAGTTCCTTGTGTGAAATCCTGCGCATTACTGAAATCGTGGGCGAAAGCCTGAGAATGGACCCACCTAGGAAGTACCACAATTCCTTCCAAGATTATTTTACCGAGAAATAGGATGTGTTATTATGAATGCGTCTTAAGATTTGTGAAGCAGTTTGGTGAAAAGAGCTTGGTAAAAAGTGAAAGTCATCTGTGAAAACCTGCGAACAACCGGATTTCGTTTTGGGTGTGGCTATGGGCCTAGTTTAACCAACAGCAAATATAGAGTCGCCGAAAATCAATTTTATGAGCTGCGGTATTTATTTTAATATAGTTGATGCAATCTGAATTCCAGGTTAGCAAATACTAAGGTATTTGAGATATCGGGTAACAATAACGATGTTAAATTGTTAAAAAAATCATAGACTTCTACGATCGTCCTCTAAGTGAGCTCCACAGATGTTATTGGCTGTGTCAGAAAACTTTAAAAATGTGGCTTTATTTCCAAAAATATTTCATGTTTTTCTTGCTCTTTGTATCGCACCTCTATTAAACAAACCAACGATTTAAGAGGGCTCCATACATAGGAGATTCATATGAAACATTTTAACTTAGATTAAGTACCAAAATTTTCGGCGGGATTTATTTTCGCTGAAGCAGGGCAACCGAAAA